GCTGGGGATCAGCACCTTGCTGTATAACTGGCTGCTAGATTTCTTGACAGGAAGACAGCAGACAGTACGGGTCGACAGCAACAACTCCAGCCCAAGAACACAGAATACGGGGGCTCCCCAAGGATGTGTGTTGAGCCCCCTTCTCTTTACTCTGCTGACCCACGACGAGATCTACTACAGGGGTGAAGTTAACCATCTGGCAGAGTGGTAAAGCAACAACAACCTGTCCCTGAATGTGGAGAAGACCAACAGCGACTCTACTTCCTCTGCAAACTGAGAAGCACAAGTATGACTCCTGCAGGAAAAAATGACAACGGGTAGTAAGAGCAGCTGCACCTGCCTCATCTGGAAGGTGCTCTCTATTACAGGTGACTCCACTCATCCCTTCAGCAGCGTCTTCAGTTTGCTGCCATCAGGAAGGATACTGAAGAGCCTCCGGGCCAGAACACACAGACTGAGAGACAGCTTCGTCCATCGAGAAGGGGGGGCCCAAGGGTACATCTTTCACCATCCTACAATGCTGTGATTGTAGCCATTCCCCACTTTCTGTGAATGGTACTCATGGCCATTAATCAGTAGGCTTTGATTAGTTGTCATTGATCAATGGTCATAAGAATTTGCATACTAACAATCATGGAACTAACCCCTCAGCCCATTGTTCATTCAGTGGTGCTAGTTTCCTTCACTATGCAAATGTGTACTGTTTATAAAGTTGGGGAAACCTGCAGTCAGCTGAGACTGAAGAAGTCACTTGGATGAGTGATGAAACGTTTCTCCAACTGAAAATGTCCAGATAAACAGAATCAACCTTTTGGGATTTACTTACCTGGATGATTAAGCACACATCAAGACGTTATTTTATTAAAAATTTAAAATGTTAGCAGCACAAACAAACATTTTTGCAGCACAAACCAGCACAAACGTTTGACATCAATTTTGTTTGATTCCATTAATATGGGGTGGCTGGTTGACCTTTTGACCTTTACCTTTTCATTAATATCTTTCAAACAGAAGCAGCACAAACGACAATTTTAGCAGCACAAACCAGCACAAACGTAGCACAGTTGATTGACACTCATTTTGTTTGATTCAATTAATGTGTGTGTGTGGGGGGGGGGGGGGGGGGGGGGGGGGGGGGGGCTGGTTGACCTCTGATGACCTCTAGAAATTTTTATTAATATCTTTAAAATGATAGCAGCACAAACGAAAATTTTTGCAGCACAAACCAGCACAAACGTAGCACAAACGTTTGATACCACTTTTGTTGGATTTGAAGAAGGTGGGGGGGCCACTTCACTCACATTATTTATGGCTAGTTAGCTAACACCTATACCATTAACTAAAATAGTCATGAAGGATTTTCATGTCTGTGTTGGCTTTCTCATTAATCACAGTAGTAATGTACTAAATAAATATTTGAAGGAAACTTACAGTGGCTCTCTGTGCTCTGTGGCTGTGAATCCACCATGGCAGACAAGACAGTGGGGAATGAGACTACTTGGTCTTCTTTTTCTTTGATTGGCTGACGCCCAACCTTGTCACACTCTCTGTGGTTTTAGTCATATTATTAAAATCTTTGATCCCTTTGTTTCTTTTCTCACCACTTATCTTGCATCCACACCTTTATACAGGGAGTGCAGAATTATTAGGCAAATGAGTATTTTGTCCACATCATCCTCTTCATGCATGTTGTCTTACTCCAAGCTGTATAGGCTCGAAAGCCTACTACCAATTAAGCATATTAGGTGATGTGCATCTCTGTAATGAAAAGGGGTGTGGTCTAATGACATCAACACCCTATATCAGGTGTGCATAATTATTTGGCAACTTCCTTTCCTTTGACAAAATGGGTCAAAAGAAGGACTTGACAGGCTCAGAAAAGTCAAAATTAGTGAGATATCTTGCAGAGGGATGCAGCAGTCTCAAAATTGCAAAGCTTCTGAAGTGTGATCATCGAACAATCAAGCGTGTGAATGTGTGTGTGAATGGGTGGATGACTGGATATGTAAAGCGCTTTGGGGTCCTTAGGGACTAGTAAAGCGCTATATAAATACAGGCCATTTACCAATCAAGCGTTTCATTCAAAATAGTCAACAGGGTCGCAAGAAGCGTGTGGAAAAACCAAGGCGCAAAATAACTGCCCATGAACTGAGAAAAGTCAAGCGTGCAGCTGCCAAGATGCCACTTGCCACCAGTTTGGCCATATTTCAGAGCTGCAACATCACTGGAGTGCCCAAAAGCACAAGGTGTGCAATACTCAGAGACATGGCCAAGGTAAGAAAGGCTGAAAGACGACCACCACTGAACAAGACACACAAGCTGAAACGTCAAAACTGGGCCAAGAAATATCTCAAGACTGATTTTTCTAAGGTTTTATGGACTGATGAAATGAGAGTGAGTCTTGATGGGCCAGATGGATGGGCCCGTGGCTGGATTGGTAAAGGGCAGAGCACTCCAGTCCGACTCAGACGCCAGCAAGGTGGAGGTGGAGTACTGGTTTGGGCTGGTATCATCAAAGATGAGCTTGTGGGGCCTTTTCGGGTTGAGGATGGAGTCAAGCTCAACTCCCAGTCCTACTGCCAGTTTCTGGAAGACACCTTTTTCAAGCAGTGGTACAGGAAGAAGTCTGCATCCTTCAAGAAAAACATGATTTTCATGCAGGACAATGCTCCATCACACGCGTCCAAGTACTCCACAGCGTGGCTGGTAAGAAAGGGTATAAAAGAAGAAAAACTAATGACATGGCCACCTTGTTCACCTGACCTGAACCCCATTGAGAACCTGTGGTCCATCATCAAATGTGAGATTTACAAGGAGGGAAAACAGTACACCTCTCTGAACAGTGTCTGGGAGGCTGTGGTTGCTACTGCACGCAATGTTGATGGTGAACAGATCAAAACACTGACAGAATCCATGGATGGCAGGCTTTTGAGTGTCCTTGCAAAGAAAGGTGGCTATATTGGTCGCTGATTTGTTTTTGTTTTGTTTTTGAATGTCAGATATGTATATTTGTGAATGTGGAGATGTTATATTGGTTTCACTGGTAAAAATAAATAATTGTAATGGGTATATATTTGTTTTTTGTTAAGTTGCCTAATAATTATGCACAGTAATAGTCACCTGCACACACAGATATCCCCCTAAAATAGCTAAAACTAAAAACAAACTAAAAACTACTTCCAAAAACATTCAGCTTTGATATTAATGAGTTTTTTGGGTTCATTGAGAACATGATTGTTGTTCAATAATAAAATTATTCCTCAAAAATACAACTTGCCTAATAATTCTGCACTCCCTGTATATTACGTTGTATGGGGTATTTTCATGACAGGCTATCAGGGGTTCTGACCCTACACTATTTTCTCCATCATAGCATAACCAGATGTACAGTAAGAGAGATTCTTGTGGCCTCTCCAGAAGATAAATAGCTGCTCAATCCCCTCCAACCAGCATTTGCACTTGTCTAATGGTAGCATTACACTCCCAGTAGCTCACATTTCCCGACATCATATTTCCTTTCAGCAGCACAGATGCTGGGAGAAAAAGCCACATGGGTTTAACTTACCATCTGGGGCCAATCACTTAAAGGCCAGTTTAGTAAGAGTACTATTTTTTTTTTCATAAATTACTGATAATAAATAGCAAAAAGAAAGCACTGATAATTGCATGGAGGGTGTCCATGCAATTTTAGAAGGAGCAGAAATGCTATTGTTTGGACATTTTTCTGCTTTTACATAGACCAGCAAGGGCATTAGTAAGACCAAATGGCATCACCAAGTATTTAAAATGTCCCAAATGAGTGGTAAAAGTAGTTTTCCACTCATCCTTTTCTTTTATGTTTATAAGCATTACACAGATCTAATTTTGTAAAAACATTATGGTGCCTCAAAAGCTGAACTGAACAGAAGTAATCTGGTGATTTGATTTAACCTCTGGTAACCCCCAGCAATCAGAAAATGGCCTAAGAGTCTTACTCTTCTTTTAGACAAAGAAAAACTTCATAGGAGGGAAAGCTTTAACACTTTTTAAGCTCTCCCAATTGATACCAATCACTGTGGAAGAAGTGGGGTGAATGGCTATGGTCACTGAGGCCAGAATTACTTGTCACAATTACGGTGCACATTTGGTCTATAGCTGCTCCATGAATAAATGTTGCACATGCTTGTGTTGGCCCAAAGACAAACCTTGTTTAGATAAAGCCATATAGGTATGGCAGCTGAGTCTCTTGAGTCCAGTGTTTGGCCAGATAATTCTGTCGTGTTTTGCAAGAAGTTATTAGCAACAGATAAATACTCAGATAAGATAGGGGAGCTGTTACTGGCAGGCCAGAGGATCCCAGGGACAGTGGAAGAAGAAAGTGGTGGAGACTGGACAGGCAGTTGAGTAAAAGGGGAATATGTCTTTTGTAAGCAGGCAAGCAACTTAAAGAGACAGGTAAGTGAGACAGTGAACCTGAGCTCAGTTTTCCCACAAAGCACAAGCATTGCATTTCACCAGGAAGTCACAGACAAACAAAAATTCAGGATTCATAACTGCCAAAGCAGGGGCAAAGCAAGAGGATCACAGAGCCACATTACTACCATGCATGTAGTAATGCCATCTGGCAGAATATGGAAGCACAATACTACCGCAAGCAGTTAAGGAAATGGAATACAAGCTCCAACTGGAGGCAGCATCTGTAAGGAAAAAAAAAGCAACTCCAGCTGAGAAAGTAACACTTTCACAGCAATTTGCAGGAGCACTTATTAAAAGATTTGAGTGTATATTGGCCTTTTATGTAAAAACATACATACAAGCTCAAATATATACATACATTAAAAAAAAAATCCTAAATAAATTCAAACTTGTGCATACAATTAATTGGGATTTAAAGTAATTAAAATTTCAAACAGTTGCTGAAATGATGCAGAGGAAGAAATGCATTGCAGTGGATTAAACTAATTATTGCTAAATTAATGACTAATTAATGACTAATGACTTTTGCTGTGCTTCTCTTAAAGGACAAAGACGACGAACAGCCACAGCTGACAGCTGATCCTGGGGAGTCTCACACAGAGGAAACCCTAGAAGAGACAACAGGAAAAAAAATAGATTTAGTTTACTCCCTTAATGACAGGCCACCATGGTACCTCTGCATTTTGCTTGGCTTCCAGGTAAATCTATCTTCTGACTTGTTTAATGGATAATAATAATAATGGATTGGATTTATATAGCGCTTTTCAAGGCACCCAAAGCGCTTTACAATGCCACTATTCATTCACTCTCGCATTCACACACTGGTGGTTTAGCCCAGTGTCACAGCAGAAAACTGTATCTAACCTTGCTACTACTGCAGGAAAATATTCTGCTTTCATTTATTGAACATCTTTGATTGGCTGTAGCTCTGGAGGTAGAGCCGGTCATCTACTGATTGAAAGGTTGGTAGGGCAAGCCAGCCTGCTCAAGTCTGCGTGCCAAGGTATCCTTGGGCAATATAGTAAACCTCAAGTTGCTTTCCAATACATTCACTGTGAAAGTGTGACTGTTAGAAAGACAGCACTTAGGTGCAGAAAAAAAAGTGCTTGTGTGAATGGGCGAATAAGTGCTTTGAGTGCTCAAATAGAAAAGGGGTATATAAGAAACAGTCCATTTACTCTTATAATGAAGCCTCTTGATGTTAGATCAATGCCAAAGCAAGGAGACAAACCTACAGCTCTGTAAAAATAAAGTTGCATTGGCTAAACCAATTCTCATTTACATCTACAGCAAATGCGAGGTCAAATTAGCAGTCATTATTCATAATCCCAAATTCCACATCCTTCTCAATTTCTTTTTGAGACAATTAAAAACTTTCTATAACTCAGTAACTTAATGATAGATATTGCACCATCAGCTTCCTTTATCTGCAGTTTAGTGCTGGACAGTTAGGAAAGTGGGTTTGTCAGTGTTTTCCAGCTTTTTAATACAGAGAAAGAGAAGTGTAACTAAAGCTGAGGTAAATGTAGTTGAAATTATAACTAGAAGATTTCCATAATCCTGACAAGTTGATGGTAATGTCTTTTTTGTTGTTGCAACATTTGCGAACTAAAAAATAAACAATAATTCAAAAAATGACATTAATGTAGTTAAAGAAAATGTCTCACTTTAAAAAGGGGTGATAATTAATGTGTGTTGGCAACAGTATGTATTTACTCACAATAAGGTCTGTCAGTAACCCTAACCCTGATTCTTTAGTGACTCGTTAGCGACTTTAGTGTAAAGTCGCTAACATGTGAGTGCTTGTATGTGTGAGACGGTTCTAGACATGAGCAGAAATGAGTAAGGGGGATTTTGAGTAAAAAGGGAGGGAAAGCTAAATATGACATGTAATTTTCTTTACATTTTTAGTTAAACTATTTTAAGTCGTGTCAAAACATTTTTGGAAATGGGACTTTATTTTATTAATAACATACCAGAGTGTGGGTAAGACATGCAGCAAAGACTAGAATGTCAAGAGTTAATTTCATGGCTGATTAGCAACAGCATTTCAATCATTCAATAACATTATTTACAAGACCTGCAATATGGTTAAAATCCAAAGTGTGGTCATAAGTTAGTAGTTTAGATATTTTCAAGGTTATAATAATACCAGTTTTCTTTCAGGCTGAGTGACCTTGGTTGAACCAGCGACAAGGAAAATATGATCATGCTGTAAAAATATATTAAATTTAAGCTCCAAGGCTGGCATGTTGAAATGACCAAAATGTTGGTGACTTTATTTTCTCCTGTAGCATATTATTGATTTGTATTTATTTGAAAATAATCTGTTAGCATTTTAGCATACATATATATATATTAGGGGTGCAACGATACACAAAATTCACGGTTCGGTTCGGTTCGATACTTTGGTGTCACGGTTCGATATTTTTTCGATACAAAAAAAATGTTCATGCCTTTTTAATTTCTCATTTATTAAAATTATAAATATATATTTTAACTCAAAAGTACAGTTTTTAAATTTAACCCTAACCCTTGTGCGTGTTTTTTATTTTGACAGCGAATGCGCACCTGCGGACCACTTATGTGCACCCCTGGTTATATAGCTCGTCATATTGCAGCCACAGAAATTCTTTTGTCCATGAAACCATAAAGCTGCACTTTCTTTTTGCCTTATAGTCTGATTTGTCATAACTTCTCCGTTTTGTGGTAAGCTTTTCTTTGGCTGTCACTTCTTCACCCTGACCTGTCTTATTTGGCTCAGCAGAACTAAAATATATATCTGTCTGTGAAGGTTCTCAGTCATCCAGGTCATCGTAGTCAAATATATATCCTGCTGCTTTTACACACGCACTCACATAAGCTCAGCGATTCTCTGCGCGATCAACCTCTCACGTTTAAGCTTGCTGCGTGAGATTTCACTTGTCATGTTTGCATAGTAAGCTAACAATTAATAAGACGATGTCAGAAGAATTGGTGCACAAATTATCATCACTCACAGATCAGTGCTGTCGCTCTCTATACACAGTTTGCGCGATTGCAAAGTGAAAGCAAAAAAACAAGCGCAAATTCAAACGCGATTGCAATATGTCACATATTGACAGCGGCTCACCGATGCCAATGACATAATTACCCAGCTACATTTCTGAAAGAATGCAAAAGCATTGACATATATTTTTCCTTCCTACAATAGCCCGACGGGCAGGGCAGAGATAGATTTTGGTAGCCCGACTGAAAAAAATCGCTAGCCCCGGGACGTCGGGCTAGCGATATTGCAAGCCCTGTATCTGATTGAGGAATCACTCATCTTTGAAAAGAGAGTTTATTACAGAGAAATGTCTCTTTCCAAAATAAAAGCTATACTATCCGCTTCTTCTGGGCTATATTCTCAGCAGCATATTAAACATATAAGGAGAATCATGTGCTAACAGCTGTCTAAATGACTCGGCTAAAGTTAGTAGCATGCTTGCTTGTTTTTTTTCTGCTTCCACTTGTCTTTGCACTAGGATGATGTCGGCGTAAATGTGCAGTCATATTTGTTGTGTTCCCACTAGTGCTTTCAGGTTAATCTCGTTGAAATGACCTTAACGCCACAACATGGCAAATCTCCGTTAACGAGCTACCACCGATCGCCCCGTGCATGGGGCTAGACGGCCAACACGTTAACGAGCTAACACACTAGTTCCCACCCATGTAATTGAGCATTGCATGGCACATCCAACATACTGTTTTACTTTAGTCCATGACTCGCTTACCTTCAGGGTCATACGTCACATGAAAACCAAAATAATTCCAAACGCCAGATCTGAATGAGGGTGGGGGAGGTCCATGTTGCAAGGAGAGCTTAACTTCTGTCTCGCTAGCTTGCCCTGCGCTCTTCCTTCTGACGATGCTGTCTGTGTTGAGCGCTCAGTGAATCTACGTTCGACTACTCCGCCTAGGCTGCACTGTCGAGCCTTGGCGGAGTAGTCGAACGCAGATTCACTGAGCGCTCAACACAGACAGCATCGTCAGAAGGAAAGTTGATAAAATAAATAACAAATGTTGTATTGTTCGATACATATGCGTACCGAACCGAAAGCACTGTATCGAACGGTTCAATATCGATACGAATATCGTTGCACCCCTAATATATATATATATATATATATATATATATATATATATATATATATATATATATGACCACTCACTCAAATCTTTTAATAAGTGATGCTGAAGGTTCTATTGTGTCTTTTAACTTGACATGGCAAAAGGCCATTTATGTTACTGATTAGGATTGACCACAAAATATGAATGTTGGGCAAAATGTAAAATCTTTTAGACATCTGGAAAGAGTAACTTCTACCAGCCTATCTCATTCCACAAGGAATCCTCACTGCCATGGAACTGATATCTCCCTGATTGTTGCAGGTTTGGAAAATGATTAAAACAAACAATGCCCGTGTTTTCCACCCCTGTGTGAAGTATAGTAAAGCCTTGAATGTCAGCTGCAAAGACATAAAAGGATATGACATTTTTGCTAATACTTGTGGCATTACCTTCTTTTGTCAGCATTGGTGAAACACCAAGGATACCCGCTCCATTGCCCATATTATTTATTTATTTATTTTTTTTACAAATCACTTAACATTTTCTGGACGACATTGTAGGTTGTGTTGATAGGAGAATTAGCTCTGACCACACCGATGGTGTTGTCAATGACATATAATGTGTTTTGTACTTGGCTGCAAGCAGCCTTAGTGAGTCCAGATATATGTCTGTGCATCACTCAAATTAGATTAAAGTGTGAGACATCTGAGACTGAACATATCCTGCCAGCCAGGCCGTTGTGTTTTGATGTAGCAGATACAAGATTGTTAATATTCTAGCTGACCACACTAGTTCTGAGTTACAAGAAATAGCCTTTGTCATAATGATTTAAAGCAAAGAAACACTGATATAGGGAAACTCTTATTGCTTACTGAGTAGAGAACATCAGATAAACTGGTATTACTGTTTTAGATTTAGACATTTCCTCAATTACACTTGGCATTTGATCTGTACGCAGATATTTTGAGATAATGACATCCAGTACAGTCTGGTATGAAATTAATTCTCATCTATGTCATTGCACATTGTGACTGTTTTTCAATAAAAAACAACAACACAGCAAGCATTAAAGTCAAATAAAAAGGAGTTTTATGAAGATAAAAACATAAATTAATCTGTATAAAAAGAAAATATGTTTAATCCTTTAAAATCTCTCTATTATTCCACTTTCTGCAGCATTACATTCTTGCTTTCGGTGGCATCATTGCAGTTCCACTGATCTTGGCTGAACCGCTCTGTATAAAGGACAACAACATTGCTAAAAGTCAGCTGATCTCCACCATATTCTTTGTGTCAGGATTGTGTACGCTGCTGCAGACGACTGTTGGAAACAGGTAACACCCTTTTATGATTTCAGTGAACCAAAGCAGACGAAGACACAAGAGTTCACACAAGAATTTCCACTTGTGTAATATCTTTTGGCACTAGCTTTGCAGTGCGCAAACTGAGACAATGCCCCACCTAAGAATGAGTGAGCGTTTTATTTGTTTGGCACACCTGATATTGGGGAAGCATTTCTTTGTTCAGTGAGGATTTTTGAGGATTAATATAAGTCTTCCTAAAACACATCCACAAAGGATCTAAAGTAACAGCCCAGCTCCTGTAGTGGTTCATGTGAACTTAAACTGTGGGTTAGTTTATTGTGGGAATCTCTAGAACAGCCGTCCCCAACCCCCGGGCCTTGGACCGGTACCGGTCCGTGAGTCGTTTGGTACCGGGCCGCGAGAGTTGAGGCTCAGGCGTGAAATGTATAGTTTTCAGGGTTTTTATCGGTTTTCAGCGTTATTTTGTTATTGTTTTTATCGTTTACTCGGTTTTCCTGGGTCTTTTCACGTGTGTTATGAATAAATTTTCTTTTTTTCGGTACCAGTACTAGTTTTATTTTGTTGTATTTATCCGCGACACCTTAAAGGCCGGTCCATGAAAATATTGTCGGGCATAAACCGGTCCGTGGCGCAAAAAAGGTTGGGGACCGCTGCTCTAGAACATCTCATGTCAGTAGTAATTAATTGCCTAGCTAGGACACTTTCTGAAAGAGAACAACTTCACTTTTCAACACTTTGACATATCACTTTTTATTATGGTTATTATGATTCACAAACAAGAATAAAAACAGCAAATGATAGTTACATGTTTTGTTATTTTGCTGTTAGATATAAAAGTTACAATACCTTGCAAAGGCCAGGGGTTTGTTTTCTTCCAAGAACTCCACTGATTGGATTCCGATTTCTTTCTGAGTTTATTATAAGAGCCAGTTTTCTCATGCACATTCTTTTTCTTTAAGAATGTGGCGGTATGTGTCCTACATGTAGCATTCTCAAATCTTTTAGCGGCATCCTCAGTAGCAGAGTAGTTACTTAGTTAACAGATAATGATAGCTGATATGAAATTTATATCCAACAGGAAGAGTCTGTTAAATAAATAGCAGCATTGCCATTGGTAGAGCAATCAAATAAAACTGCTTGGGTGAAAAGGAGGATGTTTTTCATAGTGATGTGTCGGTCGTGAACGAAATGGCTCTAACAGCCGACTCTTTGAAGTGAATGACGCTGTCACTACCCGATCCTTACCAGAAACCCGATCGGTACCCCGCATGCGCGAAAGGTGTCTACTTCCGGTCGAAGCATTTTACGATAGTTACAGGTCAGAGTATCTGTTAAGATGTTAATAATAACAAGTATCTTTTAATGTCACGGTTCTGGGTCCGTTGGACCCAGTATTTTGAGTTTATTATGTTTTGGTTCACTTTTGCATCATGGATTATTCTTTGTTTCTCTGGTACTTTGTGTTTCAGTTATCTTGGTGTTTTGGATTGTTTCTCATTCTCTTGTTGTGATGTTTATTATTATTATTATTATTATTATTAGAGTTTCATGTTTCTATTATCCATGTTTTAGGAATGGTGGTTTCATGTATAGTACAGTTCCATGTTTCATTTTCTGTCTCTGTGTTGAGTCCATGTCTCTGAGTTGTGATTCATGTTTCCTGTTTTATTGTGAAAGTCTTTGTCTTATGTTAGTGTGTGCAGCTTTGTTCCCCATGTCTCGTTAGCCCTGATCTCTTCCAGCTGTGTCTCCCTTCTGTGGCCCATTTCCTCATTACTACCCTGTGTATTCCACCCTGCCTCATCTGTGTATCTACCATGTCTCACCCGTGTGTTCTCCCTGCTGTCCATCATCATTCTTCTCTGCTCATTCTCATTCAGGTTTGTGCTTTGTAGTTTTAGTTGTTTCCCAGTTTAGTTCAGTTCTCCGTGTTGCCGTTTGCCTCTCCTTTTGTGTTCAATAAATCACCTTTTACACCTTCACGACTGCCTGCGTGTGGATCCTCCTTTTCCTCCTCCACACGGCTCTTCTCACTTGCCGTGACATTTAAAATGTTTCCGATAATGAAACATTTAATATAATGTAGACAAAAACAAAAAAATAAAAAGATAGTGACAGATCGGGACTCCTAATCCTTACTGCGCATGTGCAAAGTCGGACCATACAAATCGGGTCTACCCAATCCGTACCGCGCATGTGCAGGGGTTTTCTTCTTCTTCTGTTCGTTTAATGGCAGTGTACACCCAGTGTACGAGGATACCGCCACCTGCTGACTGAGCGAATGAACCCTATTGTAAACTGAATTAGCGTCATTACAAACGTGTGTTAAATTTGATTTAGTGATAATCGAGTGTGTTTATGGTTGTCTGTGTGGAGAGGATTGTTGCAAAAGTGATGATAATGTCCGCTATCACTGTCAATTGCCAGTAAACACTTCATCTGGTTGCTGAATCTTCACGTGACATATTATAAAGTCTGTATTATTAACTCTGTCATTAGGCACCATTCTTCTTATTTTACGGCGCTGTTGTTCAATCGGGGAACACTCTCTGTTGAGGAGAAAAGCAAAAATTTGTTGCGGATACGGGTTATCCATTGTTTAAATGTCCCGGTAGTCGAAAAGGAGGCAGAGCTGTTGAGAAATGCTAGGAGCTAACTGGGTGCTAACTGTATCATTCAAATATATTGAATGTCGCAATGTTGGCAAAGAGAGGAAGTGACGTAAGATTTGCACATGCGGGGTACAGATCGGGTTTCCGGTACGGATCGGGTAGTGACAGACGCAAGCCGGATCTTTATTGGGAGCCGTGGGTTGTTTTTTTTCTTTCTCTCACCCTTTCTCTCGCACTTTTTTCCGCTTCACTCAGCACGCGAGTCTTGTGCTTTGTGCTGGGAAGAGGGGGGAGGGGCGGTAGTTACACTCACAGAACAGAGCCCGAGGGAAAGAGAGAGAAAGAGAGCCAGAAACACATTAGAAAGGTGTAGTGATCACCCACAACTATTTTCAGTTGCAGATGATAAAGGATTCAGAAAGTTTATTCATGCAGGCCCATATGACAGAGAATGTGCATCTTCTTTTGTTTTCATATTTTTTCATAATTATATTTAATTGTGTGTTTGCAGTGTTTTGTGTTGTTTCACTTTAAATTTGTTTAAAAGGAAAATGATGAAAATTTAAATAGTTAAAAGTTGAAATGTGAATAGTTGGTTTTTGTATTATATGATTTATTTATTACATTTTATGTGGAGTGTATAAAAAAAACCCTGAAGCACATACAATTCACAACAGAAGTGCTCCAGGATGCTAGGGGCAGTGTTGAGCTTTTGTTACCTAGTGGCTACACAAGCCAAGAAGTACCAACGACTTGGTGTGTGGTAGTAACAGGTAAACATTTTTTAAAATTATTTGAATATATATGAATGCCTGTGTATAAATACACAAACAATGCACACATGCTTTCAATTGTGTAATTTAAATGATCTAGGTAGCTTTGGAAATTCAGTTAACGCTAGAAGTGTGTTTTGGAGTTTGTATGTGCTTTGTCTCTAGGGGCCACCATATATATATATTTATATATATTTATATATAAACATATATATATATAAAACTACAGGGTTTTTTTTACATTAGTAATTCCTTTTGTGGATAATTTTAGATAGTTGTTAATAATAAATAAATTAAAGCAACAAAACAACCTGAAGAGCCGGTTGGGAGCCGAAAGAGCCGGCTCTTTTTAGTGAGCCGAGCCGAAAGAGCCGGTTCTCTAAAAAGACCCGGAAATCCCATCACTAATTTTTCAGTTTAAGTTTCAATTTTATTTCTATAGCAGATTTAAAAGACCAAGGTACATCAAAGTGCTTCACACAAGAGCCGCATTTGCGGGGTTACAGCAATAGAGTGACGAAGAAAATACAGTTATCATTACGGAAAAGTTTCAGATAAGTGGTATGGCACAAACGCAAACTGAGTAAAAATTTTAAATCGAATTTGTTTCAAAGGCTAGCTTAAACAAGTGGGTTTTTAAACGTGATTCGAAGGATTGAATGGATTCCAACGCATTGACAGTTTTTATTATCGGGCTACAGAAAACTTAAAATGAGCTTTGCATATTAGCAAGATGGCGGCGCGCACGGGTGCAGCGGCTCTTAGCTCTCCAGTTTGGTGCTAATTTTTACTTTTAATGTGGATATTTTTGAATGTTTGCAACACCACCATCTCTTACAGTCGCCAGAACCTAATTGACCTAGGTTTTAAATATAGTTTGTCTGTTTCTGGCGACTATCAGCGAACACACAACATCCTGGTGGCGATAGCGAGACCGCCAGGGTCACCGTGGATGGTCTGCCCGCCCAGCAAGCGTAGAAGGCGACGGGGGAAAGAAAGCAGAAGAGGGGATGCCGGTCGGGCTCAGATGCTAGGCTACGCAAACATTCACACCGGCCAGCACTTCCGAGCCTTTTCCTATCGAACGCCAGATCCATCACCCACAAACTGGACGAATTGGAGCTACAGATAGCCAACACAAGCTTTGCACGTAACTGCAGCATTATTCTTATTACGGAGACGTGGCTTCACCCGCTGATTCCCGACGCTGCAGTCGAGTTAGCAGGCCCCACGCTACACCGGCATGACAGAAACAGCAACTCAGGTAAAAGCAGAGGAGGGGGGCTATGTGTTTACGTGCATAACGAGTGGTGTTGTAACAGCAGGATCATTCACACACACTGTTCTCCTGATTTGGAGGTTCTGGCAGTCTTGTGCAGACCTTTTTACATCCCGAGGGAGTTTACAGTAGTTATTGTGATAGCTGTTTATATACCGCCGGATGCTAACGTTAGCACGGCTCTCAGCCTCTTGCTCAACACCATAAACAAACAAAGCGACTTTAACAAAGCGTGCCTAAAGACTGTGCTTCCTAAATTTGTCCAGTTTGTGAACTTTGCTACGAGAGGAGAACACACTTTGGACCATGTCTATTCAAACATCAGGCATGCTTTCAGAGCGACACCCCTCCCCCACCTGGCTGGATCTGACCACCTCTGCATGTCCCTCACCCCCACCTACACCCCCCTGCTGAGAAAAACAAAGCCCCAGACAAAGACAATAAAAACCTGGCCTGAAGGAGCCCTTTCTCAACTGCAGGACTGCTTCTCAACAACTGTATGGGATTTATTCTCCAGCCACAACCTCCAGGAGTACACGGACACTGTACTCTCGTACATCAGGAACTGTGTTGACAATGTCACCGTCAACAAAAAGGTCAGGGTGTTTCCAAATCAAAAACCCTGGATGAATAGCGAAGTGCAATCCCTCCTAAAAAGCTGCAACACTGCCTTCAAGTCAGGGGACAGGGCTGCGTATAGGGCGGCCAGGGCAGACCTGAGTAGAGGCATCAGGAAAGCTAAGGCTGTCTATAGGAGGAGGATTGAAGATCACTTTGCTGACAACGACCCCAGAAAAATGTGGCAAGGGATCAATCACATTACCAACTGCAGAAGCAATAACCAGGCAACATCTAGGACTGATGCCTCACTGGCTGAGGATCTAAACCGTTTCTTCGCCCGCTTTGAGACGACCAGGCCCTCAGCTGCCACACCACTTCCACCCGCCCCCAGCACTGGCACACTAACACTTAGGGAGCATCAAGTGAGGTGTGTTCTAAGGTCAGTGAATCCCAGGAAGGCAGCAGGTCCTGATGGAATACATGGAAAGGTTCTCAGAGCATGTGCTGACGAACTGACCGGAGTCTTCACTAAAATCTTCAACCTTTCCTTGTCATCAAACACCGTCTCACCCTGCCTCAAAACCTCCACCATCATCCCCATCGGCAAGAAGACAGCTGTGGCCAGCCCAAATGACTACAGGCCTGTTGCACTTACGCCTGTAGTGATGAAGTGTTTTGAGAGACTGGTCTGTCAGCACATCAGGGCCGGTCTGCCTCCCACTCTGGACCCCCACCAATTTGCCTACAGGACAAATCGAACCACCGAGGACGCTATCTCCATAGTGCTCCGCACTGCGCTGAGTCACCTGGAGCACCGAGGAAGCTATGTGAGAATGCTCTTTCTGGACTTCAGCTCAGCATTCAATCATATCATCCCGGAGATCCTGGTCCAGAAACTGTCTCACCTGGGACTCTCCACCCCCATCTGCCTCTGGATCAAGGACTTCCTGACAAATAGACCACAGTCTGTCAGACTCGGCCCCCACCCGTCCAGCACCATCACACTCAGCACCGGGTCTCCACAAGGATGTGTTTTGAGTCCCCTCCTGTTTATGCTCTACACATCCGACTGCTCCCCTACCCATCTCTCAAACACCATCATAAAGTTCGCGGATGACACCACAGTGGTTGGACTCATCTCAAGGGGGGATGAGTCGGACTACAGAGATGAGGTCAACAGACTGAGTGAGTGGTGTTCAGTTAACAACCTCCAACTGAACACAACGAAAACTAAAGAACTTATCTTGGACTTCAGGAAGGGCAGAGCAGACCCGGCCCCACTTTACATTCACGGGAACTGTGTGGAGAGGGTACACTCCATGAGGTTTCTGGGCGTGCAGATCTCTGATGACCTCTCCTGGACTGCAAATACCACGGCGGTGGTTAAAAAGGCCCAGCAGCATCTCCACTATCTGAGAGTCCTCAGGAGGAACAACCTGGAGGAGAGGCTGCTGGTGACATTTTACAGAGCCACCATAGAGAGCATCCTAACGTACGGCATAACAACATGGTATGCAGGGTGCTCAGCTGCGGACAGGAAAGTACTGCAGAGGGTCATCAACACAGCCCAGAAGATCACTGGCTGCTCTCTGCCCAGCCTGGAGGTCACTGCAAACTCTCGGTACCTCAGCAGAGCTGGCAATATCATCAAGGACTACTCTCACCCCAGCAACCAACTGTTTGAACTATTACCGTCAGGCCGACGGTACAGGTCACATAAAACCAGGACAAACAGATTCAGGGATAGCTTCTTTCCCAGAGCTATCACCGTAGTAAATAAGCACAAAAACAATTGAACCTATTCCATACCGTCACTGTCATTATATTATGCTGCTATTCATACTGTCATTATATTAATGATGCTATCCTGTATATATTGTACATACTATTGTTTGAGTACTTATGATTGGTTTTTTTGTACTTTTTATATTTTACATTTATATTTATTATTGAAACTTGCACCAAGGGAGTGGCACTCCAATTTCGTTGTACTCTGTACAATGACAATAAAGGCTATTCTATTCTATTCTATTCAGGTTACTGCCAGGACTTGCTGGGAAGTCCTACCAAGGAGGGGTTAACATTAATATCGCACTACAGCCAAATCCTTTGTTTAAAGAATGAACACTATGGGTGTATTTTATTTAGTTTGAAATTTTTTCTCTGGATGTTTGAATTAGTTTTAAACACAAACTGCATTCTCACTCTTCATTATGAGCATATGGCACGGGGAAAATAGGTACATAACTATGACACGAGTGTAGTCTAAACTAAGAGGAAAGAAATAACATTTGATTTCGTTCCCAAAAAATACATTACAGGACTCTGTAATAACAAAGCTTGACTACCCTTTGGCAGATTACAGTATAATAAAACCAATGGATTGTACACTATACTATACATTTGCAGATAGGTTTTACAAGCACTAACTGATTTGTAAAATGCTGTAAATTAAATTAAATCAGAAAAACACTGTCATATCATAGATAGACTAGAAAATAAACAAACGATTGATCGATACAGGTTGTCGTAAGCTCTATGCAGACAGGTACACATACCACCAAGTCAGATAATGATTGATGGGCTAAGGGAGGAAGACAGGATGAATTGAATGTCACATATTTTGACAAACTTGAAATATCAGGAAAGGGATTCCATTTGTGATAATCAACTGCCAATTCCTAAAGTGTCTAAATGAAGAATGAACCATGGTTCCTCCTCAGCTATAAATAATAAGTCCGCCTAATCTGTGCAGCAATTTATTTTGACAGTTAAATGATTATGTGTGGAGAAAAACATCAGCATGATTATTGTCCATTTGCCACTTAAGGTTAAAGTTAACTTTTAGTCCAATCTTATGGATTGTTATTTCATGAGATTGATCTATATACGTATATACCTGTGTGAGAGAGTAAAATCAGTGTAGTTATTTTGAAAAATAAAAATTATCTTCAGGTTTGCTTTGAGTATACAAAGTCAAGCGTAATCAGAAGAGACTTTACATCATTTGGTCAAGTGACCTTTGACCTTTAACTTTAAAATTATTGACTTGCAGGTTACCAATCCTCCAGGGTGGCACATTCAGTTTCATCACACCAACCCTGGCAATTCTTGCATTACCCAAGTGGCAGTGTCCTGTGCCAAATGCACCTGTGAAACCATTGGTGCAGTTTCATAATGGCACCAGTCCGCTACAAATGGAAAATTCAGATGAGGTCTGGATGACAAGAATGCGTGAGGTATGTTCACTTGTGTGGTTAAAAAAACAAAACAAGGTGTGTGTGTGTGTGGGGGGGGTATAAATAAGCAAAGAAGTGAAAAATATGTTGTCAAGACTTAACATTTAAATGTGAAGTTGAATTCATTTTAAGTCCCTCGACAAACAGGAAAAAGGACAGTGTGAAGAACCCAACGAGAGAAAAGCTACATTAAGATAAGATAAGACTTTATTGATCCCACAATGGGGAAATTTCTGCGTCACCTCAGCTCGGGTACAGATATCAGAAGGAAATACAAAAATACAAATAAGTACAATCAATGAAGATAGATAGATAGATAGATAGATAGATAGATAGATAGATAGATAGATAGATAGATAGATAGATAGATAGATAGATAGATAGATAGATAGATAGATAGATAGATAGATATTTCTCATCAGAGGCTGCACAGTACATACTATTTAGAAACTGTGGCTAGCTGTCAATGTGAAGTTCTTTGTTAGCATGTGCTCAAATTACACAACTGCTTGAATTCTGCTATTTTTAAATCGCTAATAGACAGTCTGTTTCAATTTTATCTGTCCTAAATTTCAGATTTTGGGTCAAACCAGTGAAAATGTCAGACTTTTAACTTGAACAGTTTTTAGAGTTTCATGTTCTAAAACTGAGTTCTGCAAAAGGCCTAAAACTTAATTTTGAAAGGTTAAAGTCAAACGAAAGCATTATAATGGCAAAAGATGCACAGCATTTAATTTTAGATATGAAACCTTTATGTTGGCATAGGGAATGACATTACGTCCTTATTGTCTTATCTTCCACAGATCCAGGGAGCCATTCTGGTATCCTCTCTCCTTCAGCTCACACTAGGCTTATCTGGGCTGGTGGGCCTTGTGCTAAGATATATTGGTCCTCTGGCTATCGCTCCCACCATCAATCTCATTGGTCTGTCACTGTTTACTGAGGCTGGAAAGAAGTCTGGAGGCCACTGGGGAATAGCTGCTCTGTGAGTTAAAATCCTGATTAGCTTTATGTTGGAAAATATGTTGAAAGAAGTCTCTAAGCTCATCAGAAGTGTCTACCAGTCCTAATTCTGTCTTTATTATATCAAAGCATATAATTCTAACTGGACAGGAAACCCATATTCACACGTTGCTTTACTTGCCACTTGCCTCTATGGTTGCTGTCAAATTCAAATTCAAATTCAAATTCAAATTTTTTATTTGTCACGTACACAGTCATACACAGTACGATATGTAGTGAAATGCTTGGACAACTGCTCGTGACCTAAAGAAAACAAAAAAGGAAAAGGCTATGAATAAGATAGGAAATAAATATGAAAAATTAAAAAGGGTAAATTTAACTAGGAAGGAATAAAATATAAATTAAGGTTAAAAATGAAATAACTGTACAACACAAATTAGAATGAAGGGTAAATTTAACTGGGAAGAATAAGATAAAATATATAAATTAAAGTTGAAAATAAAATAACTGTACAACAAAATACACAGTATAGAACTATATAAGAATGTATGAAGAAATCTAAATATAAATAAATATATACACAATAACAGCAGCTGTACAAGTATTAACCGGAAATGAAGAATATAGTGACCAGTGTTGTGCAAAACCAAAGTCCAGAAAGTCCAGTGTGTGTGTGTAAGAACTGTATGTGTGGGTCAGTACTGTGTGGTGGTGTGATTGAGAGACCGTATCGCCTGCGGGAAGAAGCTCCTCCTCAGTCTCTCTGTGTTGGTCTTCAGGGAGCGGAATCGCTTTCCTGACCTCAGCAGAGAGAACAGTCTGTTGTTGGGATGGCTGAGGTCCTTCACGATCTTCCTGGCCTTGGTCCAGCACCGCCTGCTGTAGATTGAGTGCAGGTCAGGGAGCTCGGAGCGGATGGTGCGCTCAGCTGACCGCACAACCCTCTCTAGAGCTCGTCTGTCCTGCATGGTGCTGTTCCCGAACCAGGTTAAGATGTTTCCCGCCAGGATGCTCTCTATGGTGCACGAGTAAAAGTTCCTGAGCACCTTGGAGGGCAGTTGGAAGTCTCTCAAGCGTCTGAGGTGGTAGAGACGCTGTCGGGCCTTTTTCACCACAGTGTTGATGTGACAGGACCATGACAGTTCCTGCGTGATGTGAACTCCGAGGTATTTGAAGCTGTCCACTCTCTCCACTGGGCACTCGTTGATGACGGGGGTCTGGTAGTTCCTCTCCTGCTTAGTGCTGAAGTCCACTATCAGCTCCTTTGTCTTACTGACGTTTAGAAGGAGGTTGTTCCTCTGGCACCAGTTCTCCAGATTCCTAATCTCCTTCAGGTAGGCCGTCTCGTTGTTATCAGAGATCAGGCCCACCACGACGGTGTCGTCAGCAAACTTGATGATGGTGGTGGAGCTGGTAGTGGCCACACAGTCATATGTGTACAAAGAGTACAGCAGGGGGCTCAGAACACACCCCTGGGGGGCTCCAGTGCTGAGAGTGGTGGAGGCTGAGACATGTCCGCCCATCCTTACTGCCTGTGGTCTGCCAGTTAGGAAGTTGGAGATCCACTGACACATAGATGAGCTGAGTCCCAGATGCTCCAGCTTGGTGGTGAGTGTGGAGGGAATTATGGTGTTAAATGCAGAGCTGTAGTCTATGAAGAGCATTTTAACATAATTCCCCCTTCTAGTGTCCAAGTGAGTGAGTGATGTGTGGAGGAGATGAGAGATGGCATCGTCTGTGGAACGATTTGGACGGTAAGCGAACTGTAGTGGGTCCAGTGTGTCTGGTAGTGAAGAAATGATGAAGTCTCTGACCAGGCGTTCAAAGCACTTCATCACTACTGAGGTGAGGGCTACAGGGCGATAGTCATTGAGAGAAGCAGGGTGGGGTTTCTTCGGGACAGGAACAATGATGGACTCTTTGAAGCATGTGGGGATCACCGACTGAGATAAAGAGATGTTGAATATCTCAGTGAACACAGGAGCTAGCTGGTATGCGCAGTCTCTGAGGATACGACCTGGGATGCCGTCTGGTCCTGCTGCTTTCCTGGTGTTCACTCTCTTGAAGGCTCTCCTTACTTCATGCTCGGAGATGACGAGCACGTTTCCGGTGCTGGCAGTATCTTCCTGTCTGCAGCCGTTAGCGCCGCTAACACTAGCATTGTTGGAGACCTTAGCTGCAGCCTCGAAGCGAGCATAGAAAGTGTTCAGCTCGTCTGCCAGAGTCACGGCCGCGTTCGTCATACCGGTTGTTGGTGCTTTATAGTCCGTTATTGTCCTTAGTCCCCGCCACAGGCTCCTAGAGTCACTCTGTTGGAGTTGTGACTCTAGTTTCCTCCCGTAGCGCTGCTTCGCCTCTTTCACCGCCCTCCGCACGTTATATGACACGGCTTTGTACAGGTCCATGTCCCCCGTCATGAGTCCCGTGTTGTAGGCAGCGGTGCGGGATCTCAGAGCGTCGCGGATGGTTTTATCCACCCACGGCTTCTGGTTGGGAAACGTTGTGATAGTCTTTGTCTCCACGGTATCATCCGCTAGTTTCCCGATGAATCCCACAACCGCTTCCGTAAACACGTTGACGTCATCGTCGGAGCTGTTTCTGAACATGCCCCAGTCTGCGTCATCGAGTGCGTCCTGTAACGCAGCCACCGATTGATCCGTCCAGCGCGCGACCTTCCTCTGAACCGGAACTTCCTGTTTCAGCCTTTGTTTGTATTTTGGCATGAGGAAGATGGCGGCGTGATCAGATTTGCCAAACGGGGGGCGGGATTGTGCCTTGTAGCCGTCCTTGACCGTAGTGTAGCAGTGGTCCAGTGTCCTTTCACCCCTGGTGGGGCAGGTGATGTGTTGATAAAAGTTCGGCGCTGCGCGTTTGAGGTTGGCGCTATTAAAGTCCCCCGTCACAATAAGCGCAGCGTCCCGGTGTTGTGTCTGGTGCTGTGTGAGTGCCTCATGCAGCTCGCATAAGGCGGTGACCGTGTCCGCTTGTGGTGGAATATAAACGGCACTTACAATGACCGATGTAAATTCCCGAGGTAGATAAAAAGGACGACACATGATGGACAGTAGTTCCAGATTTGGTGTGCAGGAGCGTGTGAGAGGAACAACGTTCGCACTGTTGCACCAGTTGTTGTTCACCATTAAACACACGCCGCCTCCCCTTGACTTCCCCGAGTCCCGTGTCCTGTCCATGCGGTGAACCGAGAAGAACTCGGCCGGCTGGATGGCGTGGTCCGGCACCGCTGGGTTCAGCCATGTCTCGGTGAAGCAGAGGAGATTGCAGTCCCGAATGTCTCTCTGGAACTTTATCCTGGCCCTGAGGTCGTCAAGCTTGTTCTCCAGTGACTGGACGTTGGCGAGCAGGATGCTAGGCAGAGGTGTGCGGTGTGCACGAGCTCTCAGCCTGTTCCTGACGCCGGCTCGCTTCCCTCTAGGCCGCCGCCGCTTCCCTTTGTTCTCCCTCGAGATCTCACTCGGCCAGCTCGGATCCGGAGTTAAAAACTTCGAATTGTGAGTACATTGTATACCAATAGAAACAAGAGTGTCACTGTCATACCTAATGTACCCAATGGTGATGATTTTGCCGATTTAGAAACGCTGAAAACTAACTTAAAAAGCAAAGACAAAGAAAAAGTGGTCGGAGCAGTCGTGACGGCAGCCGACCTCACCGGCGCCATCTTAAAAGACAAAAGACATAGACTCACCGTGGACCTGAATGTTTTGGTAATACTGAGCTTTCCATAATTCCTCTGAAGTGAATGCTTGCAAAGAAAGGTTTTATGTTCAAATTAGACAGAAATTAAATTGACCATAGTTAACACAAGTATTGTTGGAGGAGTGAGGCTCAGGCATTCAACCCCAAATAAAACTATACCAGCTGTTAAGCACAGAGCTATAACAACGTACTGCAGTGTACCAGTGGAAATGGTACAAAACACAGTGGACTTAATAATTACAGTGGCAGACTACTTCAGAGTTCTTCATTATAGCTCGAAAGCATCAGTTGTAACTTAGATACAATTGGGTATTACAACAGGGCAATGACCCCAAGCACACATGGGCTGGTGTAATGAACTGGTTGTGAAATGGATAAACCAGGGCAATGGTAAGCTTTTGCAACACCTTTCTCAAAGTCTTAACCTTAAACTACAAAAATGTGAACAATGCTTGAAAGTCAGGCAAGAGCTACCAAAACCATCTGTGGAATATGCAACTTGCTAAAGGACATTTGATCAAATATTAGATGTAAGACAGATTTAAATGCATCACACATTTATATTTGAGCACTTTTTGTACATACGGTTCATAACTGTAAGTTTATAAGTTTCTTAAGTGTGCTTTCAGGAGTGTAGCTTGCAAATATCTGTTGCTGCCATCGGGCTGTCTCTCATTCCTTGCAATTCCATTAAATGTGCCAAGGGAGCGTTAGCTCACCTCTGAGTGGGGGGCCTCCACATGTTAGCCTATCTACATGATTGGTGGGTCAGAGTACGTGCAGAGATGCAGCTGGCTCTGTCTGTGTTAAACATCCAAGCTCTGGGTTTCTCTGTGAAATTTCAGAGGAGCTTCCTAACCTCAAACCTGCAGAACATTTTCCTCAGGCTGGAAATATCTTTGATTTTTCCTTTTTTTGTTTGCCAGTGGCTACATTTGATTGTGACACATTTCAAAATGATCTTAAAGATGGTATCTGTCATTGTCATAGTGCCACTCACACTGTTAAAAATGATGTTACAGTTCTGTACTCTTTCTCACTGTGGGCATTGTATCACCTTTAGTTGAGGGTGACAATAACCACACCTTCTATGCTAGCTCTCTGCGCCTGAAGGGAGTCCAGGATGCTGCACCAGTGCTCTCAGACTCGGAGGATGTCACTTTCCAAGGTGGTATGCACAGATGTCTCTGTGCAATGGTGCATCGATGAGAAGAGTCTGAAATGCAGTGCAGCGTGAGCCACATACCAGTGCTTACCAGCACTCAAGCATTTTCTGTCTCTTAAGAGCCACCCATGTTACAGGCCATCTGAGGCTCTTCTCTCTGGAAGCACTCTTTGTAGAAGCTCAGGTATGGGATATATTTGGCCAGGCGGAAGTAGATCTTATTGCCTCCAGGGCGAACACTCTCTCCTTCTGTTCTATGCCATACCTGGCAAAGAACAAAGACCCGCTCTACCTATGAGAGCAAGTCACCTACTAATCATGAGGTTGGTGGTTCGATCCCTGCCTGCTCCTTGGGCAAGATACTAACCCCAAGTTGCTCTCCGATGCAATGTGTGAATGTTAGATAGAAAGCTCTTGTGTAGAAGAAGCATACAAAAAGAATTCTTTTATGAACGGGTATGAATCGGTGAATGAGTCAGTGTATAGTGCTTTGAGTACTCAGAGCAAAGTAGAAAAGCACAACATAAGAACCAGTCCATGGGAAGACGTGCTCTTAAATGCATATCCGCCAGTAGAAATGATACTTCCAGTTCTAGAAAGCACTTTTATAGTTTGGCGCTGTTTTGATTTGAGGTCCTCTCTCTCCTCCGAGCTGATCATTCTGAAGCCAGTCTCCTCCTCTTTGGTAACTCCCATGACCCCTGTGTACTTATATCCATCTTTTCTGTGTGCCAATAAAGGCTGTGAAACTATTTGATTACCTTTTCCATTGGCTCTGCTTTCTGGTTCACCCTTGGTATTTAATCACACAAATGATGCAAACCTACAAATAAAACAACAAGAAGCCAAAAGAGCCTGACAAACATGAATGCGGACATTTTGAAATGGACACTGAGAGAAATCAAAACACCAAACCAAAATCCTAAAATAGAAATAAAAATAAAATCTTCAAATACTAGAACCACCATGAACATCGACCATTAACCAAGACTGAAATATGGGGTCAAATTCAAAAACCACAATCAGTCTCAAGCATCATGACATTAATTCTATATTGACAAATTTACCCTCATTTATTTTTAAAACATAAATGCCTACTGTGTTAATCCACATCTCCAGCTAAGAATTGTGCCCTGTCTAGTGCTACCCTGTGAAATCTGTCTTCATTTAACATTTCTATCTTGAGATAATGCAGACTAATCCTATTATATAGAGAGATATTTGTGGGTTTTAAAAGGTTGAGCACATCCACCTCCTGGTGCCATATATGGATAGTAATCAGTCATATCCTTCATAACTTCAGCAGTCTCTCTCTGGCCCTCATCCATCAATAGAAGTGTCAGTCCATATCCTGCAGCTTGTAGAAGCAGACATGGACAGCTTATTTGTAAATCACCTCTTTACTTCTATCTGACCAGTATTCATGCACAGTATGACATCTTTCATCACATTTAAAGTGTTACAAAAACATATCATTTTCAGGTGTCAAGTACCAGCCATGCCTGTTGTGTAAAGTGGCATGTTTTCACTTGCCCTGACCTCCCTGTAACAGTGAACCATGCCCTGCTAAAAAGAAATTCCACAAATAGCTGGAAGCAAGGGCCAAGCCTTTGGGGAAATTACTATGATTAACACATTTTATCCCATTTTCTTTTTTCCTATAGCACAGTGGGTCTGATTCTACTGTTCTCCCAATATCTCAGCAACGTTGATGTTCCAATGGTTTCTTACAAGAATAAAAAATGGATGGTGTTCCAGTATCCACTCTTCAAGCTGTTCTCTGTGAGTTGTCAAAATTTCCAAGTCTAATATGTTTCACTTGCTTTCCGTTGTGATAAAAAAGATCAAATTAAATGATGGGACCCCAAAAAAACAGTTTCGACCATCCTAACCTTGCTTCATAAAAAATTTAATGAAAAATAAGTTGTGAAATCATGTGGAGTCAAGTCAAAGTCTGCCAGTCAAGTTAGACTTGAAAAAACTAAATGTTGTCTATTTGTATAATAGACAACATTTGTATACTGAAAACAAGTTTACAATTTGACTTTTTGTTAAACACTAGTATGTTGAATCTGCCTTTTAACTCTGTGTAGGGATGATATTGCCTCTACTTTTAAACATTATTATGGCAGTCTATAGTGCTGATAACATTACACTGGGAAAAAAATCTTTTGAAAAAATCGTTTTGAAAATAGAAAGAAAAAATAATATAATTTATTTTTAAGCTGTTGTTCTTTCCTCTTTCATGTTCATGCAATGGGATACCTTGAAAGTGTCTGTGCTCGGCTGAAACACAATCCTTTTGTGGCTCCCAAGAAGACAACAAGCATCAAAACTTGGCGTGCTTTCAATAAACATTTTTCTAGAATGAGATCTGTTTCATATCAGCAGCTACATCTCTGCTGCAGATAAAAGAAAATTAAAAAAAGTTTTGATGACAGCATCATCCATGGCTTTCTTTTTAAGCTACTAAAAAAATAGAGATTTAAAAGAATGGCAAAAGATCAAATGGTGGGTAGAAATATTTCCAGAAAAGTCTGAAAACACCAACAACATCTAAATGCCTGTTGATATTAGAGTAAACAATGCTTAACTGCTCTAGCTATTCATCAGTATTCATTATCATAAAATATGGTATTTTTCTTTCTATCTAAGAAAAGATTGTGTACACATAATGTGTACCCACACATAATGTGTACCCACAAACAAAAGTACACACAATCTTCTGTCAAGTCATATTCTTTTTTAGGCTATCATTATAATGGATATGATACTTGGTAACTGAAATCTTCTAGAATTAATTATCTCAAGTTTACCCATGAACTTTCCATGAATCCCACTCAGTTATCTTCATTCATGGATTCTACAGATCAATGTATCATGATGACTTTAAGGCAGAAATTTAGATAATATAATGAGCTCATTCTGCTTGCATGTTTGCCTGACTATGAGTTATGCTTTCACTTTCCTCGATATGTCCTAAATAAAAGCATTCATGTGCACAGTTCTTTTCTCCCATGTAATCCCTGTACAAATGCGATGATTAAAAAAAACCCACTGGAGTCCCAGACAAACTGTATGCACATGTATTCAGGCTCATATTTATGACAGCTGCAGAAGTACATCTACCAAATTGATCAATAATGTGATCGTGCTTAAGCTGTCACCACCATCTTACATTTGACGAAGGGGTGTGGATGGAAAGGGCTGGTTTATTGGTTTTAAGATAGATTCACGTGGAACATCTTATCACCTCAAAGTGTTACTGAAAACAAATTCGGACTTGCATTTTTTGTATTAGTTAAATTTTTTGTTTTTCTGTTTTTGATAACAAATTCCAGGTTTTGTTTGGCATGTGTGGTGGCTGGCTTATCTGTTTCTTGCTGACCATTTTTGATGTCCTGCCTTCAAAGTCTGATAAGTATGGCTTCTCAGCCAGAACCGACATAAACCTGGATGCTGTTACAAACTCTCCATGGTTCCATGTGCCTTATCCTGGTAAGTGAATAGGTATCATACTTCAAACAGTTCTTTTATTTTACTATATATATATTTTTGTTTACTTTTTTAATTTTCTTGAACACCTTTCCTCAGAAATCTTTAATTTTAGTAGTTGTAATACCCTTATTAGGGAAACTACTTTGCTTCATAAACATATAAAGTTGCAAAAGTCCTGTAGTAACTGCATTATTAAAGATCTGCCATTTATTGCTGTATTACAAATAAAGTAAAAATTCTTAGAAGTTATGTTACCATTTGGCTTGCTTGCTTCTCATTAGGCTACGCTTGATAAACATGCAAAACTGTGGTTAGTTAACCCTTTAAGACCTACCATAGAACCAAGTCCGCCAGAGCTTATATTATATTTTTACATGCTGTAGTGCCATGTTTGGGAGCATTTCAAGTTGCTATACATCAATACAACCATTATAGCCCAAATTTTAATAATATGTATGCATTAAGTGCATAGTAATTGTTGGAAAAAATGTTGAAAGAAGTTTTTGCTTTTTTAACATATAATACAGAAATTTAAGAGGCTTATCCCTCAAAACTGTAACTACAAAATAGTTGCACAAAATAGTTTCCAACCACAGGAAATTTATTTTGAGTGTCTTCATAGTTTTATTTTTGAAAGACAACAATTTTTATGTACTGCAGGAAAAACGAAAATAAATATTATAGTGCAAATTTGCAAAAAAACAAAACAAAAAAAACAGCATATGCATCAAAATAAACTATTTCCAGCAGTGCAATATGAGTCCTAAGCATCCCAGAAACGACACAGAAAGTCATAAAGTCAAACATAATTTTTTAAAAACACCAGTATAGGCTTACAAGGCCCTGATGGTAAAAAACTACATTTCCGAGATTATGACGTCACTCCCTGTTTCGGGCAGGTAATGGCGGACATGTGATAGTTCTATTCCAGCGTAGGAAGTGTTACGAACAGCTGATCGGATCGGCAATATTATGTTTTTGTTGCTGCAAGCGCTTTTTATGCAATTTTTGCAAAGCTACATGTGGAAGGAAACTGTGACCTAGGAAAAGCTGATGGCATAAGATGTAAGTACAACTCCTCCGGTTTCATATGCAAAAAAAAATATTGCGCTAGCTTACGTGGTTGCAGTTCTACCAGGATTTAAAAATAGTTATGCAAAACAGAGCGTGCCTGCTCCGACCGGCTTTAAAGGGTTAAATGTTGCACAATTGCTGTTAACTGATTCACACATGATTAGATATGAAACTAGACATTTATTTATGATTGATTGCTTAATGCGTATCTGCTAAAACCTTGGTATGTAAGTGAAGAGTGACAGATTGATTGACTGTATCATTCAGGGCATAACACCTTGTGCCAACAGTCAGTTTGCTCTGACTGGTAAGAAGTCATGTGGGATTTGACTGCGGAATGTCTGTTTTGTAGTTTGAAAGAACACATGTTTGTAGAGGATTGGGACCTTTTTTAAAAACAAAAACAAAAAGGAGATCAAAGCAAAACAATATCATTTTGTAACAGGAACAATATATAGTCCAGGTAAGGGTATAAAATGCATTTCCCTGTTGGAAACTCACAGGTTCAGCTTGATGTCAGTATTTTTTTATTCAATAAACATGCTGGGAAAGTCAGCTGTAGGACTTTAGTTGTTTGCACCTATCATTTGCTGTTTACAGATGGTACAAAAGTATCCATATTACTGAGTTCAGATATTCCAATCGTGGCCATAGGCATATAAAATCAAGGATGAAAGCGTACAAACTGCGTCTACTCCTTCTTTTCTTCTGAACGAATGGGTCACTCTCAGGAGCTCAGGGAATTCCAGCATGACACAGTTATAGGATGCGACCTGTGCAACAAGTCCAGGCTTGAAATTTCCTCGTTATTAACTATCCCACCGTCAACTGCTACTGGTATCATAACAAAGGTGAGGTGCATAGTGTATATATGACATCAACCTTCTGGCCTCACTACAGACCTCCAAAGTTCATGTGGCCTTCAGAATAGTGCAGTGTATATAGAAGAGCAATTTATAGAGAATGTCATGGAATTGGTCTCAATGGCCAAACAGCTGCATCCAAGCCAGTCACAACGCAAAGTACAGAAGGGGACAAGGTCCCATAATTTGTACGTTGGTCCATGAGTCCTGACCTCAACCTGACACCTTTGGGATAAATTAGAGCAGAGACTGTGAGCCAGGCCTTCTCTTACAACATCAGGCACTTCTGGAAGAATGTCAAAAATTCCCGGAACACTTGAAGCTGTTATAGCTGCAAATGGTGGGCCAACATTATATTAAACCCTTTGCATTAACCATGGGATGTCACTCAACTTGATGTGTGTGAAGGCAGATGAGCAGATTAGCAAATACTTGCCGATACTTGCCAAACAAATACACAAAATTGTTTGAAATGATGGCAGGAAAAACACTTGCCTTTTAATGATGTCCTGTTGTGAACCCAAAGAATTTTGACAGCACATGATAGTTTTTAATGTTAGAAGTTGAAGACTGAAAGCAGTATTAACTGCAATAGTGCAGACAATGATAAAGATAGTGAATGTTAAATAAGTTTAATTAGCATGTTTGGGTTTTATTGGGTTTAGCTGGTGATAATCTGAAGATTTTGGTACAGTAGAAATAGATATATACCTTTTATACCTTTAATCAATGGAAAATTGCTCAGGAGATTGCTAAAGGAAGAGATTTCCCCAAATATCAAGGAACTGAAAACAAAGTTTTATGTTGCAAATTCTCAAAGATGCTGGGAAAATCATCTTTTCAATAGCTAAAAAAGTCTACTGGCGAGCCAGATTTAAAAATAAATGCATCCTCTAGTGCAGCGATGGGGAACTCCAGGCCTCAAGGGCCGGTGTCCTGCAGATTTTAGATATCACCCTGGACCAACACATCTGAATGAAGTGATTAGTTCATTGCCGGGCCTCTGGAGAACTTCAAGACATGTTGAAGAGGTAATTTGGTCATTTAAACCAGCTGTGTTGGATCAAGGACACATCTAAAACCTGCAGGACACCGGCCACTGAGGCCTGGAGTTCCCACCCCTGCTTTAGTGCCTGTTGTGTTAAAGTTGTGACAATGTTGTATGTAATGACAAGGATTTTAAATTTGATTCTGGATTTAACAGGGAACCTATGAAGAGAAGCCAGTTTGGGTGAAATATGCTCTCTTTCTAGTCCCTGTCACTACTCTCGTTGCAGCATTATGGATCAACTGAAAACTTCTCTGAGAGCTTTTAAGACATCCTGATAATAACAAATGACAGTAGTCCAGTCTAGAAGTAATACGTGTATTTACTACTTTTTCAGTATCTGAGACAGAATGTTTCTAAATATTATAGATGTTGCGCAAATGAAAGAAACCACATATCTTGGTCAAAAACAACTCCAGGATTCCTGCCAGTGTTACTGGAGGTAATGCCATCCAGAGTAAGCATCTGGTTGGACACCATATTTGTAAGATTTTTAGGGTCAAGTGCAATAACCCTAGTTTCATCAGAATTTAGAAGTAAAGTGAAATTAGACGTCTTAGAACTCTTTATGTCTTTAAGACACTCCTGGAGTTGAACTAATTGGTGTATGTCATTTGGTTTACATATCCAACTTTTTCTGTATTTAAAAAAAAGTATGCTATGCCTAATGGAATAATACTACCTAATGGAAATGTGTACATTGACACCCAAACTCAAGGACTTTCTTGACTCAAATGACAACGGAGAGGTCTCTGATTCAACACTGTGGGAAACATTAAAAGTCGTAATGCGTGGTGAAATTATTTCCTATAGCTCAGGCCTCAAAAAGGAGAAGATGAAGCAACTTTCTGAAATTAATAGTGCCATTCCTCGTCTAGAAAGGGCTTACCAGAATTCTAAATCACCTGAGGATTACAGAGAGATATTAAAACTCAAATACGAATACAATGCAATTATGAGTGACCAGGTTACCAACCTACTACTGAAGCTGAAACATAAACATTTTGAGATAGGAGACAAACCCGGTAAATTGCTAGCGCAACAACTAAAAGGAACACGAGCTTCGAGAACAATTCACAAAATAAGATCTAAATCTGGTGCTTTTCTAACAAGCCCTATAGAAATTAATGAGCACTTCAGAGAGTTCTATCAGGAGTTGTACTCATCCCAGCTGAATGTAACACAGTCTGCCTTAAATGACTTTTTTGATTCTCTCAGTCTGCCTAGGCTAGATGAAGCTGCCAGAGATCAACTCGATTCGGACTTTACATTGCAAGAAGTGGTAGCTGCTATTAAGTCATTTGCATCTGGGAAGGCTTCAGGCCCTGACGGTTTTGGCATAGAATTTTATAAGAAATTTTGTGATGGTCTTGCTCCATTCTTGCTTAGGATGATGCGTGATTCTAAAAACAGGGGCGTACTACCCCAAACTCTGTATGAAGCAAATATTTCGTTAATCTTGAAGAAAGGCAGAGATGACTCAGATCCTGCTAACTTCAGGCCAATTGCTCTTCAAATTTTTGATTGAAAAGTGATAACCAAAATTTTAGCAACTAGACTGAACAAGTACTTGACCTCTATTATTCACCCCGATCAAACGGGATTTATCCCTGGCAGACTTTCTTTTTTCAATGTTAGAGGTCTTCTCAACACCATCTATTCTGACCATGGTAGTTCGTGAGGAGCAGCAATTTTAGCTCTTGATGCACACAAAGCCTTTGATCAGGTTGAGTGGTTTTATATGTTCGAGTCATTACGGAAGTTTGGGTTTGGTGAAATATTTATATCTTGGGTAAAATTTGTATACGCAAATCCAACCTGTTCAGTTCTCACAAATGGAGAGAGGTCGGCGCCATTTCCTTTGCAGCGCTCTGTTCAGCAGGGCTGCCCCCTGTCTCCTGCTCTATTTGCTCTGGCATTAGAGCCCCTTGCGATTAAGATAAGAGCACATCCAAAAATACAAGGGCTCTTGGTCAGAGGGGTTGAAACTGTTATTAGTTTGTACGCAGATGATGTACTATTATACCTGCGTAATGCAGAAGACTCTGTACCATCCCTTCTTAATCTGGTCACCTCATTTGGCAAAATTTCAGGATATACAATTAACTGGGTTAAAAGTGAACTTATGCCTTTATCTAAAACCGGTTCACCGAGTTTTCTTTGTAACGTTCCATTCAAGATAGTTAACGACCATCTCACATACCTTGGATTAACTGTTCCTAAAGATCCCAAATTAATTTTTAGCTTGAACTTTGCTGAATTCTTGTCAACATTAAAGCATAACATCGAGTCATGGAAAATTCTTCCCCTATCTATGGTTGGTCGTATAAATTCCATAAAAATGGTCTCTCTTCCTCGATTTCTGTATCTTTGCCAAAATCTTCCTATTTATCTCACTTCCTCTTTCTTTAAGGAGTTGGACTCAATTATTACTTCTTACATATGGAACAACAAGAATCCTAGGATTTCAAAATTACATCTACAAAAATCCAAATTGGAGGGAGGTCTGAGTTTACCAATATTTAAACATTATTACTGGGCTGCAAATCTAAGAGCCTTGACCTTCTGGCAGCAGACATCCTCAGATCTTGGTGATTTCAACATCCCCCTTTGGGTTAAAATGGAGGCTGGCATTGTAAGGGGCTCCTCTCTAGAGGCCCTGCTTCTCTCAAAAGTAGGGAGGGCTGAGAGTCTTAAGAAACTGGGGTTTGTTCCGAAACAATCTGTGCGGATTTTAAACCAAGTTAGAGGTTTTTTTGAACTGCCAAACTCCTCTGTGCAGGCACCAATATGTGATAACCATGCCTTTTTGCCTCCTTGGGATGATAAATCCTACTATGTTTGGAAGGAGAAGGGCTTACTCAAATTCAAAGATCTTTATATAGATGGAAAATTTGCATCATTTTATCAACTTAAGCAAAAATTTGATTTACCGCATTCACATTTTTACCGTTACCTACTAGTCAGGCATTTTATGCAATCCAATATGAAGACTTACCAAGATGTTCCCCATGAACATAACTTTTTTAAGGTGTTCCTGAGCCCTCCTTACTCCAAACATTTGATTTCTACAATTGTACGTTTGTTTGATGACAGCATTGAAGTGCAGACTACGAGGATAAGAGACGCTTGGAGGGAGGAATTGGGCATAGAAATATCAGAATCAATGTGGGACAAATGCCTATCAAAAATTCATTCCTGCTCTGTTAACAGCAGACATCAATTAATACAATTTAAAATTGTCCATCGGCTACATTATTCCAAGGTTCGACTACACAAAATTTATCCTTCAACTTCCCCCATATGTGACAGATGTAAAACATCAGAGAGCACATTGGCTCACGCTTTCTGGCATTGCCCCTCATTGACCAATTTTTGGTCCAAAATATTTGATTGGTACTCTAAAGCTTATGGGATTTCCATCTTACCCAATCCAGAAATTGCAGTTTTTGTGCTGTGTACGTTCCAGAACTATCCCTGCGACTGTGCGGGTGCCAATCGACCTCGGAATGATGATTGCGAAAAGACTTATTCTAAAGGAATGGAAGTCCGCTGCTCCTCCCTCCTTCAGTGTCTGGCTCAATGACATGTTATCAGTCATTCAGCTGGAAAAAGTTCGATACCTGCAAACACCTGCAGCAAATGTTTTCTCAAAATCCTGGACTCCGTTTTGTTCTCATCTTGAGAAAGCTCACGTTGTATAAACATGTACCATGGCACTGCAATTTCCCTGTTTATTACATATTCATGACATTTAATTTGTTATGGATACTGGTAGTTTCTGATTTTAATGTTTTCTTTCTTTTTTCTTTTGTCTTTCCCTATTGACTATTATTATTGTGCTATTTCTTGTCCTATCATCTCAGCGCCTGAGCTGTATTTGTTTGTTGATGGAGTTTTCTATGCTGAAAAAATTAAAATAAAATATTGGAAATGTGTACATTGTAAACAGGTCCAAGCACTGAACCATTGAAACTCAATAATTAACCTTTGTGTGTGAAGAGGACTTGCCATTTACATGGACAAATTAAAGTCTGTTAGATAGACATGATTCAAACCACTGCATTGCAGTACCTCTAATACCTAAAGCATGGGAAATTCTCTGTAATAAAACATTTAAAGTGAACAGTATCAAATGGTGCACTGAGGTCTAGCAGGACAATTCAATTCAATTTTCTTTATTGTCCCACAAGGGGAAATTAGACAAGCACACAGATGAGTCCATTGTCAGAGGGCATTAAAAGTTCATTTGTAACATTAAATAATGCTGTTTCTCTATTGTTTCATAGCTGAAACTCTTCAGTTCTCTTTACAACTACTTTTTCAATAATTTTTGATATTGGGGTAGGACTTTGAGTAGTCTTGTGGGAATGGGCTCTAAAAGACATGCCGATGGTTCAGAGGAAGTAATTACTGAAGTTAAGTAAAAAAGATCAATTAGGGAAAGAGTCAATATATAAATATAATCTAGTAAATAAATCAGAAGTAAGGCTACATTAAAATATGCAGATGAGATGCTGACTTAGTCTGATACTATGGTTAAATTATACATCTTGCTGAAGGCTGACGACAGCTTTCCTATTTTAGATGGAAGGGAACAGGGGTGAACCTAAAGGGGAGCATGGTGTGTATTTCAAGGTTTTCGTAACATTGATTGAAAGTAAAGTAATATAAAATACTGTCTCAATTAAATTGCACTAATAATTAAAAATATATATATTAAAGCTTTTTGCACAAGCCAATAAAAATATACATGGGCCTGTAAAACTCCACTGACCTGAGGGATTTTAGGTTGGACCATGAATTATTGTTAATATTAATTAACGTCTACAGCATCATAACATCTTGTTTTCAACAGCACAAAAACTTTGAAGAACAGAGCAAACTTCAGAATGCTGATATGGTTGTGTCTCTTCATTCACTCATTCACTTGCACACTTTAACGCATTGCAACACATGTACAAAAACTCATAAAACCTTCCAAAATGAGTAAAGATTTTAAAAAAAAAGATACTTTAGTTTATACATATATATCTTATTTTATTTGGGTTTGACTCTACTTGAAAGTGTTTATAATTTTTTGCATTTAAGAAAATGTTCTCTTTAAAAAAATTAATTTAAATGAAATGTAATATGACATGTGAATGCAAGTGAGCTCCAACAGACCAGGTGTCATCATTGCCGACATGATTTAAAGTATCCAGAGTGTTAAAATAAGTTAAACAATTAAAAAGCACAAAAATGGTTTGATCAAACTAAACTAATGGGCACTCAAACTACAATTTTTTACTCAGGCAAATAAATAAATCTTCATGTTTATTAAAACTGACAATGACTGATTCATCTATTAGGTACTGTAGCCACTGACATGATTTCAGTCTTCCTGTTCCTATAGTTTAGGAAAGCTTAAGTATGCCTCCTCTGCATCCACAGGCCAATGGGGTGTGCCCACAGTGAGTTTGTCATCAGTGCTGGGTATGATGGCCGGGGTCTTGGCATCGACCATGGAATCTATTGGTGACTACTATGCTTGTGCTCGCTTGTCTGGTGCCCCTCCACCACCCATACACGCTGTCAACCGAGGCATCGCCGTAGAAGGTATTGGCTGCATACTTGCTGCTCTGTGGGGAACTGGAAATGGCACCACTTCCTACAGCCAAAACATTGCTGCACTGGGCATTACAAAGGTATATACAATCTCTTATCTGGTTGTAGATCTCTTGAAGAAGGCAATTTGTAAGATTTTTAATTCATTTGATTCAAAACATAACAAACATTTGGGGGACTTTTAAACCTTTAGTCCAAAAGAATAGTAAAGAAAAGACAGGAACGCAAGGAGGAAGACATGGGGCGTTACAGTATATGGTTTGCCTGTTAAACCCAGTGTGCTAAACTGGTACCCTCAAGTGGTTTATCAATCACACACACACGAATTCATATGTGACAAGACAACTCTTTGTCATTCCCAAGGAAAAATGGAACAATGGAACCAATTAGTAGATGACCCTGTATTTTATCCAAATTTCCTGAATTTAGAATGCTCTTGTAACCCTGGCATGTCCTGTCTTGTAATACCATCCGAGAAACATGGACTCCGACGACCATGTTCCATGCACATTCATGGTTAAATAAAGAGTAAATCTCAAGTGGTCCAATGAAAGTAGGAGAGTCTGCAAGATTGAATCCGTAACAGAACATGCTTGGTGGAAAGCCAAAATCTTTTAACCTGTTAAGCAATAGGGTTTGGATGTCTTGCAATGATCGGCACTTTATTTATTCTGCTCATTTGTCCGAAGCAGAGCTACCTGTGTCACCCTCCAGAGCCGCGGACATGTGCAGAAATTGTGTTGCACAGACAGTACAGAACACTCTCCTTCCACAGAGGGAAACGAGGGTGGCTGATCGCCTAGTTGCTGATGATGTCAGGGAGTTATGGGCATATTCTTCCCATGCTATCTGGGAGCTCCAGGTGGAGGGATTCATGGACACTGTGCATCAGAGGGAGGCCTCCAGCTTCTGGTTTATCCTCTCCACCTGGTCATAATGTCTGCAGGTAAAACCCAGAAAAAAGACTAACCTGGGTTCCCAGGGCAGAGCAAAACTCTTTTCACACCCAGGAGGTAATTTGAGGACCACAATCCAACAAGATGTCCCAAAGAATTCTCATGCTGAGTCATTACTTGGGCATCCAGTGAGGATACAGTTTGGGTAAGCTGATGAAGTAGGCTGCTTTAGAAAAGTATAGTAAGGATGACTATGTTATCTGGCGAGCGGGGAAAGGCCAGGGCAAGGCCTCCCAGGTGTAGGAAAAGATCGGAGGAGTCCCGTGGGTGGAGAGCTGCAAACCTTATTTTTAGCACAAACCTGGCAAGCAGACACATATTCCTGGACATCATTCTTGAGAGAGGACCAGCAGAACAGACATTGGATGAAGGTTATTGTCCAGTCAGTGCTGGAATAGCAAGTTTAACCAGACCATATGCCACCAATTACAAATCATGGATTCAGTCTACCACGTCAGAGACTCAGGCATCTGAGGGTGATGTACTTCTCCATGGCCTCCTGTTCCAGCTTGGACAGACTGTACAGTCTCAGACTTCATTTTTTCCAATAATTTATGAAAATATGCTCCCCTCAAAACATGCTCTTCCCATATATCTTGTTCTGTTGATATGTGGAGCAGCAGAGCTTTGTGTTTTGCCAGCTGAGTTTCCTGCTGGACAAGCCGGCGACAAGAACACAGTTGAGTCCACTGAGCCCATTTTTGGCTCGAGCATTCTGTCACACAGCCAGGACTCAAACACAGACTCAGAATGCAGTTTGGTGAATTTATTGACAGTGATGTGAAAAAACGTATTTACAGTGTCTTTCAATAAAGGGAAGACATCCAGAGTTTCTATATACAGAATCCAAGCTGATGGGCCGATAGATTCCACTCCATCTTTAGACTTGATAGTGAAACAGTTTTCTTTCTCCAACTCTCATGCATAAATCCAAAGAGAGAAGGATGACATTTACACAGGTGAACAGATTTACAGAACAGGGATGAGTATCTACCACTAAGAGTTAAACGATCAAGCATAGACACAAAAAACTGATATTCTGTCTCCACAAAAATGTCCAAACTATCCTGGACAAGCCCCCATTTATTTTACGACTCAGCTCAAAAGCCACAACATAAATTTGGAGACTAATACCAGAATTTCACAGAGGTTTTATTTTAAATTGCATAAGAAGGTGGCTAAAATACTGTAGCTGGTACCACTAAGACAAAGACTGGTGAGCCTTTATGAAAGCCCACTTCAAGTATGCCTTTATCCACACCTGACTAGGTGTGATTGATTAGCAACAGCTGAACACTCTTGCACTGCCACTGCAAAGAGATTAGGGGCTGCAGAGGGGCATAATAATGTCCTCCATATTTGAAGGGAGCCAACTGATCACCAGATGAGGAGCAGGTGAGTTGATTACCGTAGGTATACCAGGCTGGAGTGCAAAAAACAAGAGGATTCTGCCTCTGAAATTAAGGTGTGGTTACCACACATGCACGCCCACACACATATAGGCACACAAACAGTCAAGAGGAATAAGAGAAAGCCAAGTTGGAGAGAAAGAAAAACTGGCAGGACTACCAGGAGGACAGAAGGACTATGACACAGAGTGTGCATCCAGATATATTACAATGAACAAATCTTTCACATTACCTACAGACACTTAATTCATTGCCAGGTAAGAGTTAAACATGTTAATATACATGTCTTCACACCAGTTTTGGTAGGGTTTCCTAAAATGGCTGCAAGACTACATAAATTCTGAAATTCTGAAGTGCAATTAGTCACATATGTCAATCAGCTTTTGTGGTAATTTGGCATGCATTTGAGTAAATGAAGACATTTAAAGGCATAGAGGAGCAAATTTATAACTGAATTTCCTCAGACGACTGTCCTCAGAAGTACTATCTGTAGTTTTGTTACTGAAGTTGCTACATTAAGTTGTCTGGTCTAAACTAACCCCTCTAACTCTGGTGAGACACACACAGTATCTATTGTGTACTTGGATAATTTGTCACAAAGAATTTGAACACTTAAATAATAAGTGACTGCAATAAAGATTTCTTAAATTTTGTATTCATTTTATTTTATTATTATGCAATAAAACATTTTTAGGATACAGATGTTATTGTCATTAAAGTATCTATAAGTAACATTCATTCCTCACTTAATATGATGTCCTGTGCCCTGTATTATCTGGGCATATGATGCCCCTACCCCATAAAAAAATGAAAGGAGAGAAAACTAAATTAACTTTGCAATGCACAAATAATGTTGATTCATGTCAAACAATGGTGATTCATCTGTCTGAGAGCTTTGGTGGTGATATATGTACATAGCCATTAATATAAATACTAGCTGCATATTTGTAGTTGTAAGAAGAGAGTTTGATGTTAATTTAGTATTCTAAAATATTCACTGAAACAGCCTAAAAATAATAATAACACATACTATTAATGGCCATGTGACTGAAATATCTGTAAATATTTTTCCATACAGATGGGTGGTTGGAGCAGTTAACAGCCTTGGCAGATCCATACTATATACAGAAATAGTTCAGTAGAACTGCGATTATACAAGTAAGATTTTTTATAAGTTATACATTTGTATTTTAGTGGATAACTACCATTTTAACTTTTGGATGGACTCAGTGGAAGCAGAGATAGTGAGCAGGGCAAGCAGGGTGAAATATGATTTTATTTGACCTTTAGATTATGGTCTTGTGATACAATTAATGGGAGAGGAAGGCTATAGACACGAATGATTTAGTTATATTGCATTGTTGTTGTTTGTGAGTCTTACTGTTTGTGCTGCAGACTAAACTACATATTTAACTGTCACAGCTGGGGAAGCAGTCGTGTGATGTATTGAAGGAGGACCCAAGTTGCAGACAGTGGTGGTGATGTGAGGGAATTTTATTTACAGTGTGGCAAGTGGCAAACAGGAAATGTGGAACAGGCTAGACAAAAACTAAACTGGGAAAACTAGAAACCAAACCTGAAATCATAATATACGGAGACACACGGGATGAGGAGCAGAGAGACGTTGAGAACACCAGATTACGCAAAATAACACAGACGAACCCATGGGGTGCATAGGTAGAAGCACACTATAAGTACAGACACAAGGTAATCAGGAAAGAACACACAGGAGGAACACACAGCTGAACTTAATGGGCATGACAAGACACAGAACTTCAAAGTAAAACAGGAAATCATAAACAGTTTTACAAACAAACTCAGGAACACAAACACAGCACCGGGAAAGCACACAGGCAGGAATAAAAAAAACACTAAGAATCAAAACCCTGAGAACTATTGAACAAAATACCAAAATCAGAATAAATACTAGAACACAGGACAATAGGAACAGTAAACACAAAACGCTGGGTCTAACGACCCAGGACCATGACACTGACAACCATATACAGTTTAACTGATGGAGCAGTCACTGTTTTTTTTTTTTTTTTAATTTACAGAGTCAAAGCAGCCCTGTTTTGATTCATAGCAGAAGTTAAAGCTCAGATTTTGTAAATTGCTGTTGTAAGTGCCAATATACACTCACCAGCCTGCAGAAGTTCTAATCAAGCATCAGAATAGGGGTAAAGGTAATTCAAGTAGTTTTTTACATGGTTGTTGGTTTCAGTATTTGAGAAATGGATGATCTACTGGGATTACTACTGAACAGTACTTATCTTGGCCTTGTTGATGTCAGGTGTCAGAGGAGAATGGCCAGGCTGCCTGAAGTTAAGAGGGCAAATGTAACTCACTAATCTTCTCATATGCAATTACTCAACACTCAACCAATGTGGAGACAGACAGAGAGACATTGTACACACAATCACACTCCCCAAGCGTACTCTAAGAACCGGGTCTAGGTACCCTTGCCCCTGGAGGGGGAAACTGCACCCAGACCCAGGTGGTGTTACCCTTTTCCCTGCGGTGGGGAGAGGCAGACCGCCCCGACTCCGCAGCAGCAGGGAGGCCCCACACTCCAGACCCCAGTCGGACGGCCAACTCCTCCTCCTGGCCCCCCGCTCCAGCAGGTCGGAGAGAACAGGGGTGTGAGAAGACTCCAAACCTCCCTCCGCCCGCTCCTATGTAGTGTTGATGCATGTGTGTTCTAAGGTGCATTTAATTAAAACCCAGGAGGGCATGGAGCTACCTGCCAGAGAGCAGCAGGTAAGCGCATAGCCCCTCCTGATATCCCTCAGTGTCTACGTGTTTTTAAAATTGAGAGGTGGGCAACGACGCTAGGGGTGCGGTGTACACCCTGAGGGTCTTAGTCAGAATAGTATTTCTGAATACACATCACTTCAAATCACATGGGTTAGTCAAAGTCAAATGTACTTATATAGCACATTTAAAACAACAGCTGTTGAGCAAAGTGGTGTACATTTAAAACAATCAAAAGAGATGACAAAAAGCCAGGGAATAAAAGTGGTTTACACCACTTTTAGTGGGTTACACCAACCAAAGACTTCATGGGGTCCCCATATTAAATGGGATGTTTCCAGCAGGGTAATATACTATGTCCCAACGCACAAAAATATTTTTAAACTGTTCCTTGAACAACTTGACAATGACATCAATATACTCTATAGGTACCATGTGACAAAGTGGGTGAGAGTACCACTTGTCCATATTCTTAGTTAACATTCTTGTTTTGATTTAACCATATTTCACATGTAATCTGCAATAGGCAAACATCTACTATCCCGGGTTTGTTTATGTTTTGCACTTTTACAGATTATATAATATAACATCTTGGTTTAAATCAATTCCTACAAGTTTGTTAAGTTAACATGTTCTTTATTTCAACTGTTAATTTGTATTGTTTAGAACTTACCTTACCTACCTGTCTTCCAGAAACAAAAGGAGGAAATGTAGTTTTACTTCCTGCTTTATAGCTTCTGGGTTCATCTGAGGTCACAGGAAGAGACCAAGTGCGGGAGGGGAAGAACTCTTATAATTTAATAAAGTTGATTTTAGAGGGTTTATGAAGAAATAGATTTATTGTTGTAATATGTATTGATTACACCACAGAGTTCATGTTGCCAGTAAAGAGTAGTAGTAGAGGTTTGAATATAATTATGTTCATCTTACCTACCGAATGGAATAGTCCAGAGGAGAAATCGTTTGGTTAAGTGGACTATTTAAGCAGAACTCGGGTGTTTGAGAAGAAAGGTTCAGGTCAGTGTAGCTGTGTGCAGTTTGACCTTAATTTCTGTTGATTTAAGTTCAGTTATGTTTATTTGAACTGAGTTAGTTATAGAGTTGAGTTTCTTATTTGTTTTTTTGTAAATATTATTTGGGTCACAAAATGGTGAATAAATCACTTGCTACACTGGGCAGCATCAGTCTCCTGCACTTCTTTGACCGCTTAAGTCAAGTCCTACCACACACCATTTAAAAAGAACACCTTTGGGAGATTTTCACCAATTACTGAAAGGGACCAAAACCAAGTTTACTTTTGACTACTGACAACATTCAAGATGGATTTATATGTATTATCTATATATGTTTGTTTGTGCATTGGTTAATGGTAATCTAAATCCACTTGTATTCATGTCTTGTTTGAAAGTGCAGGTTACTGTATTTTCAATTAAAAAAAAATTGTGATTAGTATGTACACACCTGTTAAAAACATGTACACCCTGTCTTATCACAGGACAATTTCAGATATAGTTATTATTTAATATTATGGCATCGAAACGCTTAACCACTCTTCCTGTGTTGTCATGTCACATGTCCAGTGAGACCCAGAGATTCTTCCAACATCCTTGCAAAAATAATGATGGTTTAAGTTTTCTTGTGTACACCTTACAGTGAGTCCCTGTGCTCTGTTTTTATGTTAGGTTGGTAGCAGGCTGGTCCTCCAGACAACTGGAATTCTGATGATCATCCTCGGAATCTTTGGAAAGTTTGGAGCAATTTTTATCACTATCCCAGATCCAGTCATTGGGGGCATGTTCCTTATTATGTTTGGAATGATTGCAGCAGTTGGGATATCCAACCTCCAGGTAAACACAATTAATTTCACAGCATATCAAATTGCATTTGTCTTTTATTTGGTGCACCTTTTTTTTTATTCAGAGTAACTAGAGCATAGCTTAATAAGATGCCCTAATCCTTAACCCCTTCAAATAAAACAACACTGCTAAACAAAACACCATCTCTATTAAGGCTTTCTTGGACTCACTGGTTCCACAGTGAGCGGTGTTGTTAAATCTATCTAGAATACAGGCAAAAACAGAAAATAAGGATCATGTGTGTAATAAAAACTTTATTTGCTTTTTATTGTCATTAACTTGTCTACCATTTGGCACTTTAAGCAACCTTTAAGAAATCTGCTGCACAAAAATGTCTCAATATTGTAAAACTGCTTTGATGTTAGATATTGAGCTTGGCAGTTGTTAGCGCACTGTAAGTGTAATCCGTAATACATGAAATTCAATGTAAGTACAGTAATATGTGATTTCAAGGTTAGGTTGAGTGAGTAAGGGTCAATAGTAATCACCTTTCCCGTATCAAGCTATTTCAGTTTGATTACAGCAAACATATTGGACAAACATACAGACAAGAAGATAGTAATTTAATGATATTCCAAAAAAGGTTTTTGAGTGTTTGTTTTTCAACCACAAACATATTTCTTAATGCCTAAATGAGAACTGAAAACTAAACACTGTGAATTTTTAGCTGTTATAAAAGTCTCCGACTTCGAGACTAATTAATTGTTGAAAAACATAAGTGAGACGGCGTTTAAGGAAGTACTTGCTAGAAAATACAGTAAATGCAAATACCTTAACTGAATTGTTGCACAACTGTATTATTAGTTCCACCCCTCTATGGTATTTTTTGGCTAAAGAACTTGCTCTATCAGTTTTTGTAAAGATGAAAAATGACGGTGTTTTCCCAAGCTATATTTTGTAGCTATTTCGTTTTGTACTGTTGTAACACTATTGTGTATCATGTTTCATTATTATAGGCAGGTAATATAGTCTTATACGTACATCCGCACACACACAGATATATATATATATATATATCTACACTGACCTCACTGTGACCCGTGTTAACCTGTCATGACCAAATAAATGTGAATCCCATACCAAAATAGAATTTGGGTCTCTTTTTTTCCTGATTATTCCTAATCTCATTTTAGTGAACTTCCACAGCAGAAATGTCAGCTAGCTGAAACAGATCAACAAAATAATGGCTTGCATCTGAGAGTCAATAAACCAGTTTTAGCAAATTTGTATCACATTATTTCTGTCTCTCTTTCTTTCTTTCTCACCCTATTTCACACACCATCCTGTCTTCTTTTCTCTCTCCAGTATGTGGATCTTAACTCTTCACGTAACCTCGTCATCCTGGGCTTTTCAACCTTCAGCGGTCTGGTTCTACCCACCTGGTTTCAATCCAATCCTGGCATCATTGACACTGGTGATTTTAACACACACACACACACACACACAGACACACACACACACACACACTTTTAGGGCTTTAAAATCAGTATTTGCATGAAAGTATAGAAATACAGTTAAAATAATCTACATATTGACTGTGAAACATAGTCTGTCAAAAAGTGTGTGGTTTTTTTTAATGTCAAGTGGTACCATCCAACCTGTGAAAACACACTCAAAGTCTTCTTTGCTTGAATTTACTGAACAAATTAAAATTATTATTTATTTATTTATTTTTTAGTTTACTTTAGTTTTACTCCAGAGCTTCCCAAAGTGTGGGGCCCGCCCACGTATGGGGGCACGGTATGAAAAGGAGAAAAAAAAAAACCATGCTTGGACACTGCTAGCACAGGTGCCCACACAAACACAAAGCAGGAGATGAAACATCGCTGAATATGTTTCCAAACCAACTTCATTCTAAGCCAAAGACTAGAAAATATGGTGAAGCATATCTGCCCTTTGGTTTCACCTGCACAAGTGGCAAGGTAGGTCTCCACTGCAAAACTGCTTTTCCCTTCGTTGGGAGCAGCGCTGGGCTCTTCAAATCACGGACGCTCTTCAAATCACGGACAAACAATATCCCACATTCTTGATTTTTAGTTCACAAACACTTGTTGTAATGACTAAACTTCTCCTGACATTTTGGAGATGTTAGCTATTTATACAGTAAAGTTACAGTGGGATACAAATAATATCAGACAGATCCTGCCACGATTTGTTCCCTCAGTTCAAATCACAGACAAACAGTATGCCACAGTTGTTTATGTTTTTAAACCCATTTTGCACAGAGAGGCATTTATTGAAAAATGTATTGATAGCAATGTTGAATATTATAACACAGGGAAAAAAACAACTACACGTAAAATAATCACACCGTGACGCCTCTGCCTTTCTAAATAGAGGGACAGTAACTGCGTGTATGTAAGCGTGCGCATAGTCAATTTAACAGTAACAGTATTTTGTCCCTATCTGCAATTCATCTCACGTAAACAATAACGTGGCGCACAGTGTAATGTGAAATAAAGCACATACCTTTGACGTTGCGTGACAAACTTTGTATTCCTCGTCCACACGTAAACGCAAAAAAGGAGTTTTAAAAAATCTCAGTTTTCGGTGATTCGAAACATCGTTTACGTGTGGACGAAACAGCTACATTTTCAAAAATACCCGTGTAGGTGCGGACGTTAGTGTAAAAGAGTTAGTAGTTTACTTTCTTTCTACCTGTAATTTATTGCAAATTACTTGTATTTGCTTAATTGTTTACTAAATGTTTGAGGTGTGAAATAAACCGCAATGGAGCAAAATATGGGTGTGTGTGGTTGGAGGATGTGTTTGTGCGTGCACGCACGCCCGGGGGGGCACGAACATTTTTCTTGTAAAACAAAGGGGGGCCCAGCAAAAAAAGTTTGGGAACCGCTGGTTTTACCTGATTCACATGTGTTCTTTCAGTACGACACTCCGTTTTGGCAGGCTAACGTCAGGACTTGGTTCAACTTTTTAAATAAAAATCAGGAGTTACTTCCACCGAAAGGTTGAGTGGAGCTATTTGACATAACTTTTTAAAGTAAATCCACAAACCTTTTTTTCTGTTGAAAGAACATAAATTACTCCAGTAAACTAAAAAAAAAAAATTTGTTTGTTGAATCTAACTAAATAGTATTCTAAACCAGCCAATAGTGAGGTTTCATTTTTTGAGCTCATCCTTGAGCTTGTGTGCCTGTTTGTGTTTTATTGTTTTTGTGTGTGAAGTTTAAACTACTTTAATTTCTGGATTACTGAGCTGATTTATTATTTTAATATTGAGTTTGACTCCTTGTGATATTGTTGAATCTTTGATATCTAATTCCAATATAACATGATGTTCTTATAATACGTTTCTGTTTTGGCTCATAATTTCTTTGTTTTCTCAGTATCCTGAGCTTTTATGTTATTTTTCTGGTTCCTGTCTAGTTTTCATGCCTCATTCTGTGATTTATTGTTGTGGTTGTTTCCTGAATCGTTTCTTCTTCTGTCTCACTCCTCTGCTTTACATCACTGGAGTAACACTGCTCCTTTGTCTGTGTTTTCATGTTAATTTGACTCATCTTTTCTCTCTGTTTAGTATTTTATGTTATTTTCTTTTTTCCCCTCTTGTGTCCTGTGTTAGTTCTGTGTGTTTAGTTTTACCTATGTCTTGTTCCTTTGCAGTCTGCATGTAATCAACTCTTTTTGTATATATTGTTAAAGCATTAGTTGTGTTGCTCCTGTGCAGCTCTGTGTTTTCTTGCTTATTGCTTGTCTTAATTAGTGATGTGTCGGTCGAGAACGAAACGGCTCTTAGAGCAGACTCTTTGAAGTGAACGACGCAAGCCGGGGTTTTCTTCTTTCTCTCACCCTCTCTCTTGCACTTTTTTTCCCGCTTCACTCCACACGCGAGCCTTGTGCTTTGCGCTGGGAAGAGGGGGGAGGGGCGGTAGTTACACTCGCCAGGCACAACAACGTCACATTAGAAAGGTGTAATGATCATCCACAACTATTTTCAGTTGCGGATGATAAAGGATTCAAAGTTTATTCATGCAGGCCCATATGAAAGAGAATGTGCATCTTCCTTTTGTTTTCATACTTTTTCATATTTATATTTTATTGTGTTGTGGTTTGCAGTGTTTTGTGTTGTTTCACTTTAAATTTGTTTAAAAGGAAAAAGCTGAAAATTTAAAAGTTAAAAGTTGAAATGTTAATAGTTGGTTTTTGTATTGTATGATTTATTTATTACATTTTATGTGGAGTGAATAAATAAAAGTCTATTTACGGTGGCCCCTAGAGACAAAGCACGTACAAACTCCAAAACACGTACGAACTCCAAAACACGTACAAAACACAACAGAAATGCTCCAGGATGCTAGGGGGAGTGTTGAGCTTTTGTTACCTAGTGGCTACACAAGCCAGCAAGTACCAATGACCAGATTTGGTGTGTGGTAGTCTTGTCCTTTAGCGGGCAACCAGCGGCGGTACCAGTACGCTGCTGTAGGTGCCGCAGGTTCTCTTGCTTGACCAGCGATTATCTTCCACGCTTTTCGATCTAAGGCGATGGTTCTTACAGGTGTGTGGTAGTAACAGGTAAATGAACTTTTTTTTTTAATTATTTGAATATATATGAGTGCCTGTGTATAAATACACAAACAATACACATATACTTTCAATTGTGTAATTTAAGTGATCGAGGTAGTGTTTTGGAAGTTCAGTTAACGCTAGAAATGTGCTTTGGACTTTTGTTTATAGCCAATATTAAAGACTCATCATTTGTTGTTCAAGTCAGCCTTCTATGTCCTACATTTGGATTCTGTGTCTATACTCTGTACACCTTGCTACAGTCGACCTCACTGACTGAGTCATTAACTGAGAAACTGTTGTCATTTATATATGTATATATGTTATTCTTAGGGCAGCACGGTGGCACGGTGGTTAGCACTGTTGCCGCACAGCAAGAAGGTCCTGAGTCTGGGTGCAGTTCCCCCCTCCAGGGGCAAGGGTACCTAGACCCGGTTAGTAGAGTACGCTTGGGGAGTGTGATCGTGTATACAGCGTCCCTTTATGTCTGTCTCCACGTCGGTTGAGTGTGAAGTACATATGAGAGCATGAGGGTGGGAATGGATGTTTGTGTCTGTGTGTGCCTGTATGTCTGTGTCTATATGTCAGGTTGGGTATCAGACGCCACCTCTCTGGGGACATCTCGGGCCCTCCAAGGTTTGGAGGCCTATCTCCACCCACCACCACTTCCCCTGCCGGTGGCGGACTCCCTCAGGTATCGGTGCGTTGGTGGTTCTTTGTATCTGGGGGTGGGCGTCCGGGTACACACCGGCTCACTCCTTGGCGGCCGCTTATTGGGGCTCGCTCGGGCCACTTCGGAGGTGGGGTGCCCCCGGCCTCTCGGCCTGGGGCTCGGTCACTCAGGCACAGCTGGCTGCCAGCGGAGCTCACGGGCGCGTCACTGCAACTCCCCCTGGCTTCTGCTCCGCGGCTGCTGGGTGAGCCCTCATCTGGGACTCTCCTTAGCTCTTACTGGGACAGTGGCGCGGCTGCCCCTCTGTGGGTCTTCCTTGGTCTCTTGTGTTCTGGGGGCCTCTGGATGTCTGGAGTTTTGATCTCCTCCATACCTGCTTGATACCATAGAGGACAGGGCTGTGGCTCCCCACACTCTCTAGCAGATCATTACATGGAGAAACCTTTGGAATGCAAGCATGCTGATCCACACAGGTATGCACACAGGTGTACACATGGGTATTCACAGATGCGGACTACAGCTTTCTTGGCTGCTGCCTCAAAGCACACTGTGCGCTGTCTATCTTGCGTGCTGCACAATATCGTTTATTATTTAGTAACTATTGATATCTATGACTAGCTAGTTTATTGTGATGGTGCTTTTTTTTTTTTATCATTATGTTGCTCTTTGTTGTTTGCTGTCTCCCCTGTTTTTTTTGTTTTTCTTTCTCTCCATACAGGTGACCCAGGAGTTTTGTTTTTTTTTTTTTCTCTCTCTTCCCCCCCTTCTCACCGTCTCTTCTCCCCTTTGGTTTTCTTTCTTCCTCTCCCCCTCTTTCTTTCATTCTTTCCCCCTGTCCTATTAAAAAAAAAAAAGAAAAAAGAAAAGGATGACAAAGGATGAACTGAAGCTCCGCCATCACGTGATGTCACATGCTGCTGTTTCTGATGTCACTTCCAGAAAAAAAAAAAAAAAGAAGGTCCTGAGTTCAATTCCACCATCAGGCCGGGGTCTTTCTGTGTGGAGTTTGCATGTTCTCCCCGTGTTTGCGTGGGTTCTCTCCGGGTACTCCGGCTTCCTCCCACCGTCCAAAGACATGCAGCTTGTGGGGATAGGTTAATTGAATAATCCAAATTGCCACTAGGTGTGAATGTGAGTGTGAATGGTTGTCTGTCCCTATGTGTTAGCCCTGCGACAGACTGGCGACCTGTCCAGAGTGTAACCTGCCTCTCGCCCTA